GGGGGAAGATGTCATGGCGGAATATTGAATGCTCCAGGAAGCATTAAAGACGATGAAAGGAATACCCAGCATCACTATACCTAAAAGAACTGGGTAATACAGAAAAATTTCATGAAACATATGATCAGGAAGAGGCAATGCTGATGAAGAAGTTCAAGCTGCTCTGAAGGAATGAATAGGCAAAACACAAATCCCAAGAAATTGATGGAATACCAGTTGACATATTTCAACAAACAAATGGCTGCCCTGAATATTCTCACCAGCTCGTGCCAAGAAATTGGGAGGAAAGCTGCCTGGCCAGCTGACTGGAAGAGACCCATATTTATTCCCATTCCAAAAAAAAGGTGACCCAACAGAGTATAGAAATTATTGGAAAATACCATTCATATCACATGCAAGGAAAATCCTATTGAAGATTATCCAGAAACAACTGAAACAGTACATTGGCAAAGAACTACCAGAAGTACAAGCTGAATTTAGAAGAGGCCATAACACTAGAGACATCATCACCTTGTCAGATGGATCTTGGCTGAAAGCAAAATATCATAGGAGTGTTTATCTCTGTTTCATTGACTATGCAAAGGCATTTGTGTGGATCACAAAAAATTGTGGCTAGTCTTGAAAATAATGGGAGTCCCTGAACACTTAATTGTGCTCATGCAAAACCTATACTTGGATCAGAAAGCAGTCCTGAGAACAGAGCAAGGAAACACTTTATGGTTCAAAATCAGGAAAGGAATGTATCAGGAATGTGTCCTGTCTTCATACCTTTCGATCTGTACGTGAAACAGATTATTTGAGAAGCTGAAGTTTGTGAGGAAGAAGGTAACACCAGGATTGGAGAAAGACTCATCAACAACCTGGATTATGCAGATGATACTACCTTGCTTGCTAAAACTGAGGAGGACTATAGTTTTCAATATGGATTGAAGCTCAACATCAAGAAGACAAAAATTCTCACCACTGGGCCAATTGGCAGTACCACAATAGATAGAGAAGAGATTGGGCTTGTTAACAATTTCAGCTTACTTGAGTCCACAGTCAACACTCTTAGCACCAGCAGTCAGCAAATCAAAAGATGAATTGCATTTGGGAAGTGAGAGACCAAAGTGCCAAAGAGCAATGATGTCAGTCTTGAGACTAAGGTGCACCTGATCCAGGCCATGGTCTTCACAATTACTTGCCATGCATCAGAAAGCTAGACAATCACTAAGAATGACCAAAGAAAAATTGGTGATTTTGAGTTGTGGTGGTGGAGATGAGTTTTGTACATACCACGGACTACCAAGAGAACAAACAGATCTTGGAGAGGGTGAAATCCAAGTTTCTTCTTGGAGGCAAGAATTTGAGGCTCTGTCTTGCATACTTTGGGCATGTACCCAGGAGTGACCAGTCCTTGGAGAAGACATAATGTTTGGAAGGGTGGATGGGCAGTGCAGGAGAGGAAGACCCCGGATGAGATGGGTATTGAGCAGTTGAAGTATTATTGGAGTTGGTGAGACTGGCTCAGGATGGGGCAGGATTCAGAGCTACTGTCCATAGAGTTTCTAAAAGTCACAGGCAACTCAGTGACACATAAAACAATAGCATTTTGCCTGGCATTTGGTACAAGATACTTATTAAATTCTGTGGGTAAAAGATAATGTATTTGCTATCTTTACTTTTATCATCTTATTAGTAGAATTCCATTATTTAGCAAACATTTATTAATTGTCTGCAATATGCAAGGCTCTAAAACCATATAAAATTATTGATATTTAACTTTTTGTCCTAAAAAAATAGTAATTATATATTTTATATATTGTTTAACCCGCACGTAGACTTCCCCATCAAGGAACTTATAAGATAGACAGGAAGGTAATAGAATATTAAATTGCTGCTAAATTTCATGCTGAGTGTTCTAGAAATGCCAGAAGAGGTGCCAGTGCCTACAGAGCTTCTAGAATCACTACCTCAAATGTTAACACTTCTATCCACTGTCTTAAGACAATCTAGCCACAGTGGTTCTTCCTCCTACTTCCTGTATCCAAGCAGTGCAGCACATAACTGTAAGAAGCTAACAGAAGTTTGGAGAATGCAGTTTGCAGACCCTGGCCCAGCAGTTAGAGAGCAGACTAAAGAAGGCTGGTTATGGGACTGTAAGAAAATAGTTCCACGTCCTGTAGTGCTTTACTTGAATACCCTCTTACAATGTTCTTTGGTGAGTCAAAGTTGTGAGCCCATGTCAGATTGGCAATTACAGACCGTGTGTGTGCGGTATAGCCCTACTACATCATCGTGTAGAGGTACCCTGCAAGTACTTGTAGAATTTAGGTTAAAAATGGCCTTCTTTCAAGTCTCTCACATGGCAAGTGGTGGGGCGTAAAGATCCCTTGATTGAGGCTATGAGTCTGAAATTTACTGAACATGGGAAAGATATTAATTGAAGTCACAGAGTACTTATCAGCAAATAAAATGAGGCAGATTATACTTTAAGTTAGGCCCATAGGATTCTTTACCAAATGCCAAAAAGTGAGTAGAATTGTCCTATATTTTAGTTTGGGGTTTGTTTTTTTTTTTGGTGGGGGGTCAGGTTGTAATAATTATATTGGCAGAAAGATTTAAGGATAATGGGAATTTAAACAAGGCCAGTGATAATTGTTAATAATGGTTGCTTCATTTAATCTTGCCAGTATTATCCCACAATGCATGCTCAATAATATAAAAACTTACTGATTTTGCTTCCCCTCCCTCCTTTTCTTTTACTTCTGTACGGAGCCAGGGAAAAGACGTAGGTGTTTAACTTTTTCCCACTGTCTCCTTTTCTAGTCAGGACAATCATCCACCGTGATTGAGAATATTCATACCATTATTGCTGCAGCAGCTGTGAAATTTAACTCAGATCAGCTTAATCATTTGTTTGTTCTCATTCAGAAGGTATGTATTCAATCAGAATTGCTTTCTGTTAAATTTTACTGAAATAAGTTCATTTGGGGGGATTTCTCCTCACCTCTAAATTGCTGTTAACTAGATTCTGAGTTATGGTAACCCTGTTGGTGTAGAGATCTGCTCCGTAGGGTTTACAAGGCTGTGAGTGTTCAGAGGCAAATCTTCAGACCTGTCTTTCCAGGCACCCGTGAATTGATTTAAACTGCCAGCCTTTGGCTACTAGTAGAGCACCATTCATACCACCTGGGGACACCACATTAGCAGCATTTGAATGAATGTTTTTGCTTGTTTTGGCAGTTGGTAAAATCACATGGTGAGCCAATTCTGTGTCTTGTCTTCCATTCCACAGAGCTGGGAGATAGAGAGTGATAGGGTGAGACAGAAGCTGTTGAGCCTCATAGGACGAATAGGCCGGGAAGCTCGTTTTGAAACCACTTCTGGAAAGGCAAGAGAATCAAGTGGATTTTTCTAGCTATAAATGTTTCAGGTTCTTTCTTTTGCCCTCTGGTTGGCTCAGCATCTGTGTTGTAATTGTAGGTGTTAGATGTGCTTTGGGAACTGGCTCATCTGCCCACCCTGCCTAGCAGCCTCATTCAGCAAGCCTTGGACGAGCACCTGACAATCCTTAGTGACGCATATGCAGTGAAAGAAACAATCAAGAAGAGCTACATCATCAAGTGCATAGAAGATATTAAAAGGGTCAGTTTACCAATTTTTTTGTCAGAGCAAAAGTACTGCCTGAGTAATTCTCACTCCCTCATTGCTGCCGAGTCTGGAGGCGACTCATAGCTGACCCTTCAGCTGTTTCTTGGACATAAATCACATGGGAAGAGATTGTCCATCTTTTTCCCTCAGAGTCACTGGTGAATTCACACCACCAGAGAGGCTTGACTTACAGTTTAGCATCAAAACCCTATATGGACTAAGCTGCCCTGTCTGAGTAATTAGAGCCACGATAACTTCCTCTTCATTAGGTAAACTAAGCTAAATACCATCTTATACAAGTTCTTACATAGAGTCTGAAGATTGTGAAATTATACTGCTTTTACCAAGTCGTTTACATTTCTCTTTAAATGCATTTCTAGCCTGGAGAATGGTCAAGTTTGGATAAAAACAAGAAAGATGGATTCAAGGTAAGAATTTGCAGATGAAATCAAGTTCAATGTATACTAGTTTAACAACTCACTTTCCTGCATTGCATCCTGATTTTAAAGTTACCATTTTTTAGTGTTTCATACGGTAATACTCAGATACAGCTTTAATGTTTGTTTATTTATTTATGGCCTAAGCTTTTTTATTCAAAACTCACGTAGTTATGACTCAAAGGAGAGAAAATTTCCAAGGTCACATTCAAAAAGTTGTCTTTTTGTGAAATGTAAAGACCATAAGCTTTATATTTTCTCCTGGAAATCCAAAGCATACGCAATTTTATTTAATAAGTACAGTGGATTCTGAATAACTATAGGACCTACTGGAGGGAATGGAGGCACAATCACAGAGTTAAAAGGGAGGGAAAAGGGAAGTGGGTTAGCTTGGGACTGATGCAAAGTAGTAGTTTGAGTGTAAGTGTCAGACCTGTTTTTAAAGTTAATTCTTTAGGCAAGAGTTACCGAATGTTGCTGGGTCTCAGTTTTACAAGGTGGGTTTGGGTAGTGATTGGAAGTGGTGCTATGGAAGGTCTGCCCTTCAGAGCTCTGACCTGCAGGTCCCAGTGGACGTATGGACTGTCCTTTGAACTGATGCTTAATAATGGACGATAATGATTACAGCCCTTTTATTGCTCCAAGTCCTTAAACTTCACGTCTCTCCTATGAGAGGGGGTGATCACAGCGGCCAGTCAGTCCAGTGGGACAGAATGTGCTTCCATGGTTGCAGCTGCCCTAGTCGCAGCATCCTCCTCCTCCTCACACTCATACTTCAGAGTGCTCCAACTAGATTTGCAGCCCAGAAGTCAGGGGGAGTCCCGTTTCCAAATGTTCTATTAACACAAGAGTTTTCTTGGTAAAATAGCTAGTACCTCAGTCATTTCGTTGGTCACATATATATACCTTGGCTCCCGATAATAAGCCTCTTAAAGGATCTTGAGTACTGCTGACTCATTTTCACTGTTTCAGAGACTCTTTCAGTTCTTACGAAGAGTCTTTGGTGATTTGATGGCTTTTATTCATTTTGGTTACAGTTCGTCATAAAGTCTAGTTGGGGCATTTCAGGACTTTGTGTTTGATGTTTTTGACATTGAAAATTTGATCAAGTGAGTTTTCTACATATAAACAAGATTTTAGAGCTTTTGAAACTCGTTCACAAACTGGAACTGCCAAAGTTCATGTTGTGAGGACTCCTTTAGTTCAGCAACATTGCTTTCTTTCTACTCAGATACAATTTGAATTTTTCCAGTTTTCTTAGCTCATGATTCAGGTGCCTTAAAAGCCTCTATCTTTATGGTTAAAACTCATCCAAAATCATAAAAGGCATTTTAGGTCCTGGGAGAAAAGAGGAAAGAAGATATCTGTAGCAAATGGTCTTTTCTTCTCAATATCAGATATATTTCTTTATAGACGTGAAGGTCACACACAGCTCAAGAGACTTTTCCCTCCCTCTAGGGAAAAGGCTTTTGGCACCAGAAGCTCCTCTCTGGCCTTCTCTCTTCCTTCTTTGTTGTAGCTAAGCGTTACTTAGCACTTCTAGCCACGAGCATCACTGCATCTCTGTTGCTTCTCTTTGCAGTCACTTCACTCATGTCTGTTGTTTTATACAAAACTTTTCGGAAAGTCATAGGGAAATTTTGGAGTCATTTTGTAAGACTTGAATATCCTTCCCTTTTTAATAAATAAATAATTGTTTTTTTTCCATTCTTTTTATTTCCCCACTGCTGCCAGTAAAGAAATTCTGGTGTGCCATCATTTCATTCCAAATAATAATGTCTTGCATTTCTAGAGCACATTTTCCATTAACTGAGTACTTTGATGGTGCTCTCTTAAAGTTCACGTTGCTGCAGGGGGGCAGTGGGGAGATCAGAGCCCCCTGGATATGACTCCAGGCAAGGGGGTGGATTATATACTGCCACTAAAGGTGTTTTTCTATGCTATGCCCTTTCCTGCCAGGCAGCAAGGTGGGCTGACTGGGGATTATGTCTCCCTGCCAGGCTACACAGAAACTAAGCAAAGGGTAAGACAAGATCACCCACCTCTTACTCCCCTCCCACCCTCAGCTGCCTCTATTTCCCCAACTGATTCCCCTTCCCTCTGCTTTTGACACTCTTAAAATTCCCGAGTTCCACTGTTGTGTTCAGAAATTCTTTATTTCTGTAGATTCTGCCAGGATACCCTTGGTTCCCTTGGTCCTTTTTCCTTTGCTTTCTTTATACCTCCCACTGTCTACCCCAACCCTTTCCCTCTTTTTGCACTTCTTTTTTCCCCCCTTCAGTTAAAAAGTTTAATTGTACTCATACCCCCCCCAAAAGAAAATGACTAAACAACAACAAAAAATTATTTTACTCAGTTAGTGTTTGCATTTTTTTTAGTTATCTTAAGACTACATACCCCAGTGCCTGGCAGGCTCTCTATTTGTTGGTTCCCTTCCTCTTATCTACCTCCGCTTCACCCTAGAAAGACACTAGCATATTCCTTATCCATAGACAAGTGGCCTCTGCTTGCCAAAACATAGAAATGAAGGTAAAAGTAGTAAGATACCCTCAATACAGTTTCACAGTGATGTTGGCACAGGAGGAAATACATTAAAATTTTTCCTCATTGTAAAACAATTATGCTTTGGGTCTAGCTAGATGACTGCAACTGGGCAAACAAGACAGATGAGGAAGTGGGCCTGTTCAGCACTGAGATGAAGGAACTTGAAAGGTTTCCTCCCATACGTGGAGGACTTTTATAGAGAAATTTTGTTCTGCATACTCTGTATCTCCTAAGAAGTTGCAGGGGCACATTTCAGTATGATAGAGAAATGAGCTCTTTAAAATCAGGATGTAGATAGGATGCATTGCCTCCTATGGCAGTGGGGTCACTCATGACTGGAAATAGTAAGCTAGTTGGCCATTTAGTAAAGACGAGCTGAGATGGATTTGCATAGGTTTACAGGCTAAGCCAGCTGACCTTTAAGGTTTCATGTTAATTTTAAGAGTCTGATTTGGACATCCCATTAACTTTTACATGTGAAATCTCAACTCGTCATTATCAGATATGCTCATTTTCATAGCTACATTTTTGGTGTTTTCGTCATCCCTTCTGTAATTCGAGGGGAATAATTTAAGCATAAGGTAATATATAAGATGGAATAAGTGACATCTTTCTGCTTGCTAAATTTTGAAACATTTTAATTACAGTTCTGAAATTCTAATTTTATACTAATTTTTATTTCATTTTATTATCTAATGAGTTACCTTCAAAGGATAATTTTCAATGTTAAATAAAAATATTTGGCCATAATTGAATGACTGGTCATAATATTTTTTAATATGCTTACTTACTGCTAAAGGGTTTATGTTTACATCCTAATTTTTATAATCCTTTTGGAAGGTCCTAGTTTGGATTTTAGCCTTCGAGTTTGAAACCTTTTTATTTTAGTAAAAATATTCTAGTGAGTCTCAAGTAGTTGACCTTTACACTTTCCTTCTCTGATTTTAAGATGCCAATGATTGCAGCAAGTATCGCAAATTTGACAAGTTTTCAGAAACCATATATTGTCATTCACCCATCAGTCGTAGATGATATTAACCCATACAACTGCATACCATTTCCTTAGCATCATAGCCAGGTCCAGTCCAAGTTTCCTTTTCCCCTGTAAAGCACAGCTTCACTGTGTCCTACTGCTTTTCAGCATCTATTGTGTAATGCTTGAACTTTTTGAAAACATTAAAATTGAGTGTATCATTTTGAAGCATGTTGAAGGAAATGAAGTTCTGTGTGCTTGTACTCATTCCGGAAACTCAAACTTCTATACCTTCGTTAAGTTATACATACTAGAAGTTAAGCAACTTCTTTTGAGTTCATTTGCACCGTTGGACAAAGGGACATTTAGAGCCAAGTGAGATAACCATTAATAAATATATTCTGTCACCGTCAGCATCTCTTGACTTTGAAAAATTAGTCAGAGATTTTTGGCCATTTTCTGAAGTTATGCTTTGTTTAGTTGACAGCCAAGTCAATGCTACATGATAAGTGTAGTCTTTTTAATAACACCCTAAGTAGCAATTTGGTCTAAATTTAAGTTAAAAATCTGTCCTTATTTGGTGTTACCTGTGCTAAGTAATAACAGGAATGAGAGAGAAACAAAGAAACGGCTTTTGTACACAGCTAAGGTTACACCTATTCAGGTAAGGACATCTATATAAAAAAGCTATTCCTATGCTTAGTGACTAATAAATCTCTTTTGACATAATTACAAGAAGAGTCCATTTTAAAAATGTTAAAATTTGTAAAACCTGGGTCATACAATCCAGGAAAGAGAGTATTTGCTAAATTATTGGTTAATTACTTTGAGGCAAAGAAAGTTTTGGCATTAGCTCTCTCTTGTTTACATATTTATTTATGGCAGTTGTTTTTCTGCAAAAAGGCATCGAACTCTGGTCCTTTCACCTGTCGGCCAAAACCAGGCATCCTGATCTTGCAGAAAGACTTCACAAAAAGGATTTTAAAAAGAAAACATAACCTTTTAAAGAATGTTAGAGGCAAGCTTTTATTCAGTTGTTTTAGTTACAAAGAATAATTGATTAATGACGTATAGTACAAAATCTAATTTCAAAACTGTTTACTGAAATTTCTCATTTTAGAGTATTGTGTGAACATTAGACTTTGTAGGTCTGTAACTATGAAGACATCATCTTCCATTTTCAGACATACTTGAAAATGCTTTGAAAGTTATAAAATACAGTATAAGTATAAAGTGGCTACAATACATTTAAAAAAGTAGAAATGCCTCCTGTGAAATTGTTTTCATTCAGAAAGGCAAAGAAATTGTGAATACTTCTTTAATATTTAGGCCACTATCGGTATCTTGATCATATCATTGGTATCTTAATCATATAATTATAAAAAACCCTATTTTTATTCCACTTTACTTTCCAGCAAGTTCAGCATTATCCAAGTTAAGCTTTTGCATTCAGTTTATTTTATTTATGTCAACATGTCTTAGCAGCCTGTGCTACTTAATCTATCCTCTGAAGTTGCTAATTCTTTGTTGTCTGTTTTTTGCTGATGTATCCCTGTACATTTACTGTCATTTCACATCCACTCCTGTTTGCAGTTCTTGGCCTTAGGAAATTGCATGCAGAGTAAGAAGTTGAAGACTGAATTATGAGTGCATGAAGATAAGCTATAATTGAGCTATGTGAAGAGAAAAATAATAGAATGTATAATAATAAAACCTAATTGACTTGGTAATTTTTTTATAGCTAATAAATTTAGCCTGCCACTTATTTCTGAATTTAATTAATGTAACTTCTTTTTAACTCTAGTCATCTCAGCTTAATAATCCTCAGTTTGTATGGGTGGTACCAGCTTTGCGTCAGCTCCATGAAATTACCCGCTCATTTATAAAACAAACCTATCAAAAGCAAGACAAGGTAAGAGTGCAGCTGTATTTGAGTATTAAACAATTAGTAATATGATCTTTTATAATACCAGAACAGACTAAAATTGCTAAATTTATAGATACCATTAAGTTTTATGGTTGTTATTATTATAGTGGATTTACATTATTTAAGAGCTTTAAATTTGAATGTTACTCTCTTTTAATTTCTATTGAATTATTCTTTTGATATGCCCCTTTTTCATTTCCTTTACTTATTAAAATAATAAGACCATTTTTAAAGGTTAAGATGGTATGTTACAAATCTGATTGTAAAGATACAGAAAATGGCTTTCATTGTAAGAGGATAATTTTTAAGGAGCGAGAGCTTCTTCCGTGTAAAACATTTGTAAGAAAGAGCTGGAAAAGTTTACCAGAAATGAAATTGTTCTTTCAAAAGACATTTTAAAAAACATAAGTTTTTTTTTTAAGTACAAAAAGCAGAGAAGCTTATTAATTCTTTAGTAAATATCTATAACGAGATTAGTTTTGAGTAAGGAAATCCTTGCTTGCCATTCTTTACCTGGGATAACATTGTATAATAGAAGTTATACTATGAAACCAAGAAAGTAACTGCAAATTCTCATGCCACTTTTATTTTTGTTGTTTTGCCAAGAGCATTATTCAAGATTTGAAGAAAAATTTTGAAATAGTCAAATTAGTAACTGGAAGTTTGATTGCTTGCCATCGACTTGCAGCAGCTGTGGCTGGACCTGGAGGACTCACCGGTTCGACCCTAGTGGATGGCCGTTACACTTACCGGGAGGTATCAGGCACTGTGTTTTGATTTTTATTTTTATACAAGTTTGTTTACAAAATTCAAATACCTTGTTTTTCAGACCAGATTTTTCTAATTTCCCTCACTCTCCCCATCAAAGTGTACAACCCTGTGATTAATCCCCTCCACTGCCACACATTCTTAACCCTCTGCTACTACCATACCCCTGCCCCTCTTGGATCTTCATACTCATTCAACAATAATGGTTTTATACAGTATTTGTCTTTGTGGGACTGAGTTCACTCAGCATAATGCTTTCCAGTTCCTCCAATGTTAGGTAGTAATTTACAGAACATTGCTCCTGCATGCTATGTAGTATTCCATTGCGTGAATGTACCATAATTTCTCAGTCTACTTGATTATGGTTGGACATCTGACTGTTTCCATGGTCTCATGATGGTGAATAACACTGCTATGAACATTGGTGTACAAGTCTCCGTTTGTGCCTCAGTTCTCATTTTCTCAGGGTATATTCCAAGCAGGCACTGTGTTTTTGTATCACAATTTCCAGCATTCGTTTGACCTTTAAACACTTAAAGTATAAATTAATACTTGTTGGGTATGGTTATAAAGTAGTATAAAGTAGCTTTATAGTAATGGAGCAGTTGTGTATCTTGACTCTAATGACTTCAAAATAAAGTTTTGGAAAAATTATATGTAAAGCTAAATCTCTGAGTAAATTACCCAAGAGTTACATAATAATAGCATAATAAAAAGAAACTACTTTTCTATTGTTGATCTGAAATTATAAATCTATGGGTAGTGAATCTTGTTTTTCATTAATTGAACATTATTCCTTTAAGGGAGGTCTGGTGGTGTAGTCCAAAAGGAATTTCACTGCTAACCAAAAAAGATTCAAATCCACCATCAGCTCTATGGGAGAAAGATGGGCAGTCTCTTCCCATGTGATGAATAGTCCCCAAAAACCCACTGGAGGGTTAGCTATGAGTCAGTTCCAACACAGCAGTAATGAGTTATTATTTCTTTTAAAAAAAAAAGTTGAAACTCTCCAACTGTGAATTTTAAAATTACATTTTATTAACATCTGAAATCAACTGCATTTACAATGGGTGTGAAATAGCTTCTTAATACCTACTGGTGTTTGACTGTCACCTATTGGAAGCATTTCCTCACCTTTACTTAACCTTATGTTATTTGAAAAAAAAAATTAATCAGAATGATTTCTAAAATGTTGACGTTTTGGTTTTGAAAAAAATTTGCTTTATAGGTATGAATGCCTAGAGTTAACTAAGTAACATTATTTCTTTTTGCAGTATTTAGAGGCACATCTAAAATTTCTGGCGTTTTTCTTACAAGAAGCTACTCTGTATCTGGGTTGGAATCGTGCCAAGGAAATCTGGGAATGCCTTGTGACCGGCCAAGATGTTTGTGAATTAGATAGAGAGGTAAGAAGAGAGTGGTGTTGAAACAGTGAGGAAGTTGTGAAAGTTAAATGTCTCCCTTTTTTGTGTATTTCTCACATCTTCATTTCTAAACTCTTTTTATAAGTACACATATCTATTAAAACATCAGCATATTTTATATAATGTATATAGATAAATGTATGAATTATCAGGATTTTTATGTCATTCTGGATAAATGAAGTTAACAGAATATAGTTGAAAAACTTTAGGTGCACATTTTAATTATTCTCCTTCCCATAGATTGATTTTTTATTTGCCAGCAGAAATCTTTTAAATAACCTATGTGTGGTTATATGCCCCAGTAACACTAAAAGAGAATCAGTGTCTGTAAACATTATTAAAAATATCCTTAGATCCCTGGACACTGTCAGACTAGGAAGAAAATGCCTCCTTTGACATTCTCTACCAGTCAGTCTCTCTTCCTCATCTCCTTTTACAGTGTATTATTAACCACTTCATAGGATTGTTGAAAGTCTTCACATTTGTGACAGTGGCTGGCAGGATGCCTGGCACAGAATAAGCCCTAATAAATAGTAATGAAAACGTTCACATATAAAACTCAGTGAAAGGTTTTTCTCCATTTCAGGGGCCAAGACTGCTACTGCTTCCTTGAGCTCTGCAGTCCATTTCGGTTTTAAGTGTTGTTTGGCTTGTAGAAATGCTGATGTAGTCACTTGCCTTCCCCAGTGAGTTGTATGTGGTTGCTTGAAATGTATTTAATGATTGGGGAATGTTGGTCTGAATCCACAGATGTGTTTTGAATGGTTTACAAAAGGGCAGCATGATCTCGAGAGTGACGTGCAGCAGCAGCTCTTCAAGGAGAAAATTCTTAAGTTGGAGTCCTATGAGATCACGATGAATGGTAGGGAAAAGCCTTCAGGTGGTTTTTCTATTCTTTCCAGTAGAAACTTTTTCTAACCCCACTCAGAAATGACTGACAAGTTTGGAATCTCCTTTCTGACTTTTTCTTATGTGTACAGGGACATGACAATGTATGCTTACATTTATGTGCACAGACAAATCCCCTTTTACATAACAGTGCCTTTTAAATGACTGTTTTAAATTTTACAGGCTGAGGCTCAGATTGCCAAACTGTCTTTCTGTAAGTCCAAAATGTACAAAAAATGATTCATTACAGTAAGGATTTATCAAGGTATAGAAATCCTCTTTTCAGTCATTTTTAAAATTACATCTTTAGTCGAGTAATTTACATACTGTAAAGTTCATCTTTTTTTAAAGTATACATTTTAACAGTTTTTAATGTAGTTGCAAAGTTGGAAGCCATCCCCACTATCTAATTCCAAAATAGTTCCATCAAACACCTGCCCTCCGTAGCCCCTCAAAGAACTAAACCCACCAGAAACGTTAAATGTGCACATCCGCGGGAACACCTTTCCCCTTCCCTGGCACGTGTTGACTCCTGCTCTGCTTCCTGTGTCGGGGGATTAGCCTGGTCTGACAGTTCACATGAATGGAGTCCCTCTGTGGACTTTAATGTCTGTCTTCTTTCTCTTAGTTTTCAAGATTTTTCTGTGTATCAATACCATGTTCTATTGTTTCACTTAGTATATCGAATGGGTAAACCACATTTTATTTTTCTGTTCATCTGATGATGAGCATTTCAGTCATGTCTTTTCATTTTTGACAGTTATTATAATGCTGCTATCAATATTTTTATATACCTTTTTTTCTAGACATATGTTTTCCCTGTTGTTTTTTTGTTGTTGTTGTTGTTTTTAGTATATCACTGGAATTGGAATTGCCAGTAACTTTGTTTGGTTTTATAAATTGCTAACTTGTTTTTCTAAGATCATTTTACATTAAACTTACGTTTACATTTTACATGTAACAATCCTTTCACATTTCTAACAGCATTGTACAAGGATTCTAGTTTTCCCACATATTCACCAGTATTTCTTCTTTTCTGTTTATGATCTTGTTTGGGTTTTTTGTTTTGTTTTGTTTTTTGTTTTTTTTTTAAACCTGGCCAGCCTTATGGATATGAAGTACTATCTCATTTTTATTTGCCTTTCCCTGTTGGCTGATAATATTGAATGCCTGCATGCTTACCGGCCATTTGTAGGTCCTTGGAGAAATGTCTGGTTTTAAATTCGTGTTGATTTGCCTCTATTTGGAGTTGTTAGATTCTTTATACATTCTGGGCTACTTGCTCCTTATCAGATATATGATTGACCCATATTTCTTATCCTATAGTTTGCTTTTTTACTTTGATACTCAGAAGCTTGGTTTTGTTAAGTCTAGTTCATCACCTCCCTCCTCCTTGCTTCCCAAGAAACACTGACAAAGCCAAACTTTTTTATTTTTTATTTCTGATTTTTCTAAGAGCTGTGGAAGAGCTAAAGTCTCTCACCTCCTAAGAAATGAGAAAGAAATGCCTGTCCTCTAACGCACTGACGGGTGGTATTTACTGTAGCTTTAACTTTGACATTTAGGTCTTTTATAAACTTTGAGATTTTTTTAGTTATCTGTGTAACTTAGAGTGCATTAATTTATTCTACTGATACTCTACAATTTCAGGTTTTAACTTATTTAAGACTTTTTTTGAAAATGTGAATCTCTGTGATCATCGATTGAAAAGGCAAGGAGCTCAGTTGGTAAGTGTACTGTTATCACATCTTACTAGTCAAATTAGATAATTTGAATTTTCTGGTAAAACTTGCTCTTCTGCAAGCACACTCCCTCATCCCGCCACCATGTACAGTTGAGAACAAGTAATGTGTTTCAAAGCACAAACCTCTCCTTGGCTGCCATCATCTGCACAGAAGACGTAGCTTTTCTCAGGACTCCCTCCTCAGCTTGGCACTGCTTTACCATCTGCCCTCTTCAAGCCACTTTGTTTGCTTCTTTTGTTTGATCTCAGGGCAGCCAGTGTGGTGACCTTCTACGTGTAGGTGAATGCAGACCACATGCAGTTCTCCCTGAGATTTTAATTCTTCAAGTCCAGTAATTCACAAATATTCAATTCTGTCATAATGATGGCACAGATTTTACCATCAATGAAACCGAAAAATGAGATTCCATAAAATATATACGATGTATATGTGTACCTGTGCACCTGAAAAAAAGAAACCAAAAGGAACTAGCTTTCCCTCCCCCATATCTGTTTCATTCAGGGCCTGCCTCTTCTCATTTCTAACTAAGCTTTAGGAAGACCAGCTTGAGGCCCAAAGATTGCTAACCTCTTCAAGTTTACTGCATTTCCTTGTGAAGAAAGGTCATAAAGAATAGAGCCCACCTCACTCAGAGTTTCTGCTTCCCTTGTCTTTCTGAATAGCTGTCTGGCATGGGTTTAAGGACGCCTGGGGAAAATCAGACCCCTCCTCATTTGCATGAGGTCCCCAGTTGTTCTTATGGCTGGTGGTGTTTTGTTTTATAGCTCATATCAGCATAGTAATGGTTGTATTTGTCAGTAGCTTCTTCTTTTTTTTTTTTTTCATTAAATAAATTTATTTGTTAAAATAATTTAACTCCAAATACAGCTGTTGGATTTGCATCGGGTTATAACTAAAATTTATGTTTTAATTGAAATGCCATGGTTTAACAACTGACATTGTTACCAACAATAAGGGGTTGTTTAATTTTAAATGGTCAGTTGTATTATGTCATTAGCTTTTTATAGCCTTCGTTTATATTGAACTTAAAAAGTATGGGTTCACAAGATAGTAAGTAGAAAATTGTCATTTCTGTGGCCCTTTTGTGGATGTCATTTCCTTTTTTTTTCCTTTTGGACAGTATGTAGAAAAGCTGGAGTTGATAGGAATGGATTTCATTTGGAAGATAGCCATGGAATCACCTGATGAAGAAATTGCTAATGAAGCTATTCAGTTAATTATAAACTATAGTTATATTAACTTAAATCCTAGATTAAAGAAGGTGGGTATTATACTTTTTTACCAAAAAAACAAGCTAAACAAATATATTTTTATTGATAAAGTATTACTCTTAACATGCCTATAAGTGATTTGTTTGATGTTTTATCCTTAATAATGATGAAATCTAACTGCCAGAGAGCTAATTTTAATTTCCACATATCTCTCCTTTTTAGGATTCCGTGTCTTTACATAAGAAATTCATTGCTGATTGTTACACAAGATTAGAAGTGAGTAGAACTTTTTTCCCCAAATAATAATAATGTGATTTTGGTGAAGATTTACACAATAAATTACATTCTCATTTTGCATTTTTTGCATAGATGACATTTGTTATATTTTCTAAAGTATGTCAATATTCTGATTAATTGCATTTCCCTGCCCTCCTTATCTTCTCGTCTTTGCTTTAGACTAAACCTTTGATCTCATAGTGATGTGTTCATTTTTTAATGGATCACCATACTCACGAATGATAGCATTTATTTTGTGTGCCAGTTGATTATTTTGCTAAGTGGTGACACCAGATGTTTTAGCCCAGGGTTTAAAGGGCATTTTAGGATGACAGTCTCAGGAACTCTTCATTCTCACCTGGTCTACTAAGTGCTGACTGTGTCCAGTAAGTTTAAGAACCTGAGTTCTGTCCCTTGTTAACAAGGTCCTTCAGTTGTCAGAAATGGTGCTGGTGTAGCCAGGCAGCAGTTCGTTCCTTTGTCTTCGGGTAGATGAAGCTAAGGTTGTGTAGCCTAGTAGCATTTTAGGTTGATTTCATCTCTGAGGTGCCTTTTGTTTAACTTATTTTTTTTCCTTCTATTTAACTTGAGTTCTTCTTCTTCTTCGATAATGTGTAATATTGATGTTTATGACTGAACTCTGTTGAAAAACTTGTAAGCATTAGAACATTGTGGAATATGGAACAGACATTTGCCTTAAAAGTCTTCATATAGAAATGATTTTTTTTTAAATAGGAAAGCATTTTTTTTCCACTTTACCATCTATCTCTTCTTGCTCACTCCTCGTGCTGGTCGCCCTTTTGAGATATAGGAAATAACTGTCTTCAGAAAATAGGTCTGTTATACAGGCCCAGATTAGAAGTCAATCAGAATAAGGAAAACGAAAGACAAGCATCCTTTAATAATTGGAACATCGAATAAATGTATGTAGCTTGAATGTTGGGAAACTAGAAACTCTGAAAAAATGAAATGGAATGTGTGAATATTCTACGCATTAGTGAGATGATGTGGACTAGCATTGGCCACCTTGAATCAGATACCCTGGGCTGGGTATGAAAAACTGAAGAAAAATGGTGGTGTATTCATAGTCAAAAAATCAATTTCACGTTCTATCCCACACTACGTTTTGGGTGATATATACATACGCATAAAAGGAAGACCTGTTAATACAACTATTATTCAAACATATGCTCCTGCATCTAGAGCCAAAGAGGAAGAAATTGAAATTTTTACCAAATCTTGCACTCTAAGATTGACTGAACATGCAAGCAGGATGCTTTTTAATAATTTTGTAACTCACTACCTAATTTGGGAGGGACTGGAAATCATTATGCTAAGTGAACTAACTCAGTCCCATAAGAACTAATACTGTATAAAATCATTATTGTAGAACATGTACAAGGATCCAAGGTGGGGAGGGGAGCAGCGGGGCATGTTGCTATTCCCTGGAGGGGGACATGTTGCTTAGAAAGGCAGAGAGCTCTATAACCAGGAAAAGATAAAATAGATGAATGGGACCTTCTAAGAATCAAATCCCTATTCACATCCAATAACTTCTCCAACAGGACAAAAGGGGAAGCCACAGACTGGGAAAAAATATTTGGGAATGACATGTCAGATAAGGGACTTATATCTAGAATTTATAAAATACTTGAGCACCACAACAAGATAAAGGTAAATAATCCAATTGAAAAGTGGGCACAGGATATGAACAGACACTTCACCAAAGAAGACAGATGGCCAACAAGCACATGAAGAAATGTTCAAAATTCCTAGCTCTAAGAGAGATGCAAATCAAAACAACTATGAGATATCATCTCACCCCAGTCAGAATAGCAAAATTTAACAGCACAGTAAGCAACAAATCCTGGCGATGTTGTGGAGAAACTGGAACCCTTATTTACTGTTTTGGGGAGTGTAAAATGGTGCAACCACTGTAGAAGGCGGTATGGCATTTTCTCAAAAATTTGCAAATAGAGATACTATTTGATCCAGCAATTCTACTACTGAGAATATACCCCAAAGAGACATAACTGACATCCAAGCAGATATATGCACATCCATGTTTATTGCAGCTTTATTCACAATAGCAAGGAGTTGGAAACAACCCAGGTGCCCATCAACAAACTAATGGATAGAGAAGCTGTGGTATTTTCACACAATGGAATACTATGCTGCATTAAAGAACAAGAAACTCATGCAATATTATTCAAAATGGGTGAACCTAGAGGCCATATGCTGAGTGAAAATATCTCAGTCACAAAAGGACAAATACTGCATGGTGCCACTGTTGTAGAATGGGACTGACATCAGGGTTGGGGTAAGACTGAGAAAAACTGGATAAATTATGTGTACTGCATTGACACAGATGAGGGAGAGAATAATTTAAAAGTGATGTATGATAGGGTATTATAGTTATCACAAGAGTACAGAATTATGGTTGCGTAGTGGAGTGTACTCGGGGCAGTGGGAGGGGTGTGGGGGGATTGTATACCAAAGAATCCAAAATTTCTGTAAATGTTCATTAAAATTATTAAAATAAAACTTAAAAAAAAAGCAGAAAGGGTCAGTGAAGGAGAAGACGACCCTCAACCAGGTGGACCGACACAGTGACTGCTGCCATGGGCTCTAATGTGTCAGGAAGTGTGAGGATGGCGCAGGACAGGACAGGATTCAGATCTGTTGTTCATAGGGTCACTTTGGGTCATACTTGACTCAACGGTACCTAACAACCACAATATACAGGCCATATTTTGAATCCTTTTTTCCTTTCCCTTTTTCTGACCATTATATAAGCAGAATGATATAAGCACTGGCTTTTTTTCCTGTCCTTCCCTATGGCTCACCTAGTTTATATCATACATGTTATTAAAACCATAGCAGGACACTTTACAGTAGGTGTTATTGGTTGTCTTTATCCATTAGAAGCTTGCTGTATTACTCTCTCTCACATTCCCAATACCTTAGTGCCACTGTGATTTTTAAAATGAATATCCCAGTATTTAGTTTCATTCTTTTTGTGCTTGTCTAAACTTTGTTTTACAAAGCATATTCCAGAAGCTTAAAATGCTACTGTGCTTTGACATGAGTAAATGGAATTTTCTGGTGATGAATATGTGCTAGAATTTAAGATTTTCCAAGTTTCTGTGACTTTCATCCAATAAATACTTATTTAAAAAAAAAATAACCTCTGGATAAGGTTCTATGGACATGTATGTATGTAGAACAGCAGTTCTCAACTGGGAGCTATGTTGCCTCCCAGGGGACATTTGGTAATATCTGCAGACATTTTTTGTTGTCACAGCTGAAGATGAGTGTGTTGCTGTAAACATCCTGTAAGTAGCAGCCAGAGAGGCTGCAAAACAGCCTACTATGCACAGGAATACTTCCTCAGCAAAGAATAGTCCAGAATGTCATTAGAACCAAAGTTGATAGACCTAAGGTGGAATGATGTTTTATATTTTATAGGCGGCCAGCTCAGCCCTTGGCGGCCCTACTCTAACACATGCTGTGACCAGAGCAACGAAAATGCTTACGGCAACCGCCATGCCAACTGTGGCAACGTCCGTTCAGTCACCATACAGGTGAGTGCTTGCAGACTGAACACAGAGACTACTGCAGCCCATAATATACTTAACAATTTTTTAAAATAATAGATATGATTTTTTTTTTCCTGTGGAGATCTTGCAGCTCTTAACTACTTTTTTATATCATGCCTTTTACAGACAGCTATATCCTAAGGAGTGGTATCCACTTACTAAACAACATGCCTCTGGAAACTCTACGAACTCTGATAAATGTTGATAGCTATAGACAGACTTCAGGCCTTTTGTTCATAGGGTTGCTATGAGTTGTTCCCCACTCAACAGCAATCAACAACAACAACATAGCCTAAGAAAGTCATTTGTTCCCCACCATGTACCCATAAATCTGAGTCACTTCTGAAGACTTACAGATAAGCATCAAAAACACTCTCAAGTATTGTTCTGCCCTTATGTTTCTGCCTATTGACCATGTTTATTTTTGTTTTGAATTCAAGAGTATATCTCCCTTTATCTTTGTAGCATTTCATAGCCTGTTCTTCAGGATGGAATAAAAATACTGTACTGAGAGTAACCTCTTTTTTCAGATTTGAAAAGCTTAGTTGTTTAGAAATCTTGTAACTGTTCTCAATGAGTAGTTAAAACCAGGAAGAACAAAAGAGGGAGAAGATACTAATAAATTAAAATCATGCATTACATATGTCAGAAAAGAAGTAAGCATTGTGTATTGAAATATTAAAATTCTTTTTCAAATTAAGTTTTAGTAAGAACTTTATTTCAAAATAGTTAAAATTTTTAATTTGGCATTATAGTTTAATCAGTTGCTTTTCTGGAGTACTGAAGGGCAATATGATGTCAGTCTGGAGGCTAAGGTGTGCCTGATCCCAAGGACTAGGGATGATAGGAGAGTTGATGCCTTTGAGCTGTGGTGCTGGAGAAGAGTATTGAATGTACCATGGACTGCTAGGAGAACAAACAGATTCATTCTGGAGAAGGTGAAACCAGGCTGCTCCATGGAAGCAAGGATTCTGAAGCTTCATCTGATATACTTTGGGCATGTTGCAAGGAGGGACCAGTCCTTGGAGAGGGACATCATGCTTGGGACGGTGTAGGGACAGCACAGGAGAGGAAGACCCTTGATGAGTTGGATTGACTCAGTGACTGGGGTAATGAGAGGCAATGAGGTTGGCTTAGGATAGACAGGGTTCAGAGCTGTTGTACATAGGGTCTCTATGAGTTGCTACTCGAAAGCACATAACAATTTAATTATTGCAGATATTGCTGGTGAAGTCTCAGTTTAGGCTTCAGTCGTTTGTAGTTGTTTGCCATCAAGTTGGAGCTGACTCTCCAGCAGGTTTTCAGAGGCAGTAAATCACTTAGGAAGAAATTGGCTATCCTTTTCCCAAGGAGCAGCTGGTGAATTTAAACTGCGTGCCTTTGGGACTGCAGCACAGCTTCTTACCACTAGGCCACCAAAGCTTGCTATAGTAAGGAAATGGGATGAATGTTTAGGAACAGTAGATTGATATATTTGAAACATTTTTGTCAGCTTGTGTAATCATTCTGAAGGATGCCCTGAAATCCTTGGCTATCTTTTCCTAAGGGCAGGGTTCACTCTGCGCACCTCTCTCTCTGCTGCCCTCTAGTGCTGGGTAATGATATATTGTCTTTATTTCTGGATTGAGTTTATTTTATAGAATGATACTTTTCTTTTAAAGTCTTTCTTTTAGAATGGAATTTAAAGTCATATCTATGCCCATGTACTTCACATTTTCCCCCTTTTAAGTGGATTAACTATAGCTTATATTTCCAAAGAAGTTAATAAAAACAGACTTCTCTGACCTCATTTTAAAATGTCACAAAATAATTGTAGATTCAGTGATGAAACACTGACATAGACTTTTGTATTCTCACATTTTTGGAATTATATCTTAAATAGATTTTCATTAAGAATATGTATAAACATTCTTTATTGTGCATATTTGTAAGATATAGCCTGTCTCTTTAATCTGATTCCTCAATGATTCTTTTATCTTGCAAAACAGAATAGACATGCCTTTTTGAACTGTGAGATTAAGATTCCTAGGCTAATGCCTTTTTAAATTAGTTTACTTCATTATTACTGTTTTTCTCTTTAATAAGTGCTTTTTATCCTGGTCATTTTATATTTGATTGACTAGAGAGAAAAATTACATAGTAGTTCTTATTATATCTCTATAGTTAATAGAAGAGTATCCTTTTAATTTGTACTAGAACATTCATTTAATTTCATTAGTTATGAAAGAAATTTCCAGTGCCATATTTGTTCTGTTTTATGGTGGGAAGGGATTGGGATTCACTCTTTCATCAGTGTAGTACTTTACAGTGCTATTTGAAATCTATTTAAGATATAATTTTAGTGAGTCTATGACTCCGTTTACTGTGGAGACAAAAGTAAAATAGTTCACGTGTCAGTTCACTCACTTAGCTTTAGCACTTAAGATATTATGAATATTTTTTATCTGCATTTTAATGTATGGTTCCTGCTAGTGTCCACCAGCAGAATTTAGAATTCTATAAAGCATGTTTGAAGAACTTAATGTAAAATATTCCATTCTTTTAATCAGTATGTTGTTGTTGTTGTTATGTACCGCAAGTCGCCTGCAACTCATAGCGAACCTATGTACAACTGCCCTAAACCCTGCTCTATCCTCTGCCAATCTTATTGTTTCTGACACACCTCTCCTAGTACTGTAGTCAGTGAATCAGTTCATCTTAATCTAAGTTCTTCCTATCCTGTACTGTCCCTCCACCCTCCAGTTACTGGAAAGTTATAGTGCTGCTTTCAGTTTGAGAAATAAAATAAGGAGATGTGACTCTATAAACTGCTGTGTATTAGAATTCTGTTCTTTCACAATAGAAGAGTAAGATTCTGTAAGTCTTTCGCCAGAAGAGACTTTGAGTTTGCTTTTCAGCTTTAACAAGCATCATACTCCACTGCTCTTCATTTCTTGCTTCAGAGATTGCTGCATTTCTCAGTGTGTGTTGATTTCTTAAGTACTTTGAGAATCCTTGGGATAACATGTTGTTACACATTTTAATTATATAGAACAGGCATTTAAGCCAGATGAACAATTATTTGTCCTTCCATCATCCACATGCTAATGAAAGCAAACACAGGCAACCCAGAAATTTGTAGGTTTCATGTATTGCTTTTAAAAGAAGAAAGAAAAGGAAATATAGGAAGAGGCAGACTTCTCCTTCCTTATCCTATCTGAACACTGCAGCTGTGATCTGGTTGTGTTTGTGGTTCTGGTGAAGTAAACCAGAATTGCATGCAAGTTAGCAATTCATCTCAAATAGTTTTGTAAATATATATTGTTATTGTTGTTATGTACCTTTGAGTTAGAACTGACCCATGGCAGGCCATCCAGTGAGTTTTCAAAGTCATTAAACCTCAAGGGAGGAAATGGCCCATTTTTCTCCCACACAGCAGCTAGTGGATTCCCTAGGATTGGCAGCACAATTGCTTAACACTAGGCTTCCAGTGGTCCCTAATTATGTGTGTGTGTGTGTGTGTGTGTGTATTATATATTTATATATATTGTGTGTGTGTGCTTTTCTAATCCATAGGTCCACGAAACTTGTAATAATTGAGAGATTGCTGCTTCTGGCAGAACGTTATGTGATCACTATAGAGGTAAGTTAAAGCTGCTTCATTCATAACACTGTTAGACTAAACAAAATAAATGAGTATTGATTATGATGTACCGTGGCACTGTATGATTCACTTGATTTTATTATATCTACTTTAAGGACTTTTACTCTGTTCCTCGAACTATTCTACCTCATGGTGCCTCATTTCATGGACATCTTTTAACTCTTAATGTTACCTATGAGTCTACCAAAGATACCTTCACTGTAGAGGTAGGTTTTCTTCAAGCCCTGTCACTTTTCCCATACTGTCTTGTTATTTTTATAAGAAAAGTATTGCTTGGATATTCTAAAACTGTTGAATAAGCAAATTTAGAATAAGTACCTGAAATGAAAAGAAACTGATGAGCTATCATTAGATGTAGGTATATATGACATGTGTAACCTCAGCCCATCCACAGATGTCTCAGAAGACAGGCCTAATGACTTGTTTCCGAAAGGGCACAGCCTTAAAAACCCTGTGAAATAGTTCTATAACAGAATACCACAAATGGGTGACTTGAACAACACAGAATTGTTTTCTCATAGTTTAGAAGGCTTGTTGTTACATGCTGTTGAGTCGGGACTATCTCATAACTGACCCTCCAGTGGGTTTTAGAGGCAGTGAATCACACAAGAGGAGATTGTCCATCTTTCTCTTTCAAAGCTGCTGGTAGATTCAAATTGTGTGCCTTTGGGTTGACAGTGCAGCTTCTTACCACTAGGCCATAAGAAGCCAAAGTCCGAATTCTGGGTGCCATCTCTAGGAAGAGGCTTTCTCTGTCAGCTATGAAATGTATCATGCGCTAATATTGCATCACTAACATAACAAAGAAAACCCATGCCCAAGTGGGATTACCAACCACAGGACTGTTGTTATGTACCATCAAGTAGGAACCAACTCAGAGCTGACTGACAGCCGCTTTTCAGAGGCAGTTAATTGCATGGGAGGAGTTTACCCATCCTTCTCTCATGGAGTAGCTGGTGGATACAAACTGCATGCCTTTGGGTTCGTAGAACAACTCCTTACCACTAAGCCACCAGAGCTATGTCATATATTTTTAGAGCAGACCATTTCTTAATAATATAATATGAAGTGTTGAAAGTGAATTAAGAATAAAACAAGATAAGTTGGTAGAGGGTAATAAATATGTATGAAATATAATTTTAGATAAAGACAGACAGGGAAGGCTCTAATATTGGGTCATATTGACAGCAAGTCATGTAGATATCCAAAGGAAGAGCATTCCAGGCAAAGGGAATGTTTTATATAAATGCCATGAGGTCGGAATTGCCTGGACTTACTTGTTCCACGACAAGGTAGCGAGAGCACGGTGAGAAAGGGGAAGTGCAATGGAAGGGTCTCCGAGGCCTGGGGAAGGACTGGAGTGTTTATTCTGTGAATGATGTGGAGAAACTGAAGTAGTAATAACCAAAAGCCGAAACTGTTGCTATCAAGTCAGTTCTGACTCATGGCAGTCCTGTAAGACAGAATAGAACTGACCCGGAAGGTTTCCAGGGCTGTCATCTTTACAGGCGCTGACTGCCACATTGTTCTCCTGTGGAGTAGCTGGTAGAGCAAACCCCCAACCTTTCAGTCATCAGGTGAGCACTTTAACTGCTGTGCCACCAGGGCTGGAGTAGGAATGGGAGTTACAGTTATAGCAGAAGGGATACCTCACAAAGCCAAAGCTTCTTATCTTTGACTTTCTGCTGTGGTTTCTAGCATTTAGAATTGTGTTTGTTGTATATTAGAATCTCATTAACAGCTGCTTAAATGAGTAAGTTAATGTTTTCACAACAGTATTTCGTTTTCTTTTACAGGCTCACAGTAATGAAACCATAGGGAGTGTCCGATGGAAGATAGCCAAGCAGTTGTGCTCTCCTGTGGATAATATACAGATCTTTACAAATGACAGTCTGGTAGGTTTAAGGAAATGGTTTCTAGCACCCTAACCTGCTCTCAATACTTTCCTCTTCCTTTCTCCCTCAATAATTAAGAAACCACTTTTTGCAGCTGACAGTGAATAAAGATCAAAAACTACTCCACCAGCTGGGCTTTTCTGATGAACAAGTCCTTACGGTAAAGACTTCAGGCAGCGGGACCCCATCTGGGAGCTCAGCAGATTCCTCCACCAGCTCCAGCAGCAGCAGCAGTGGGGTTTTTAGTTCATCATATGCCATGGAGCAGGTACTGAGTGATAAATTACAATTTAAAAAAGAGCTTAATAATCGTTTTGCCTTTGGTCCACAAAGATCTGGATAATTTGTCCTTTTCACTCTGACAATTCCTGACTCTTCAGAACTATATCCCTCTCAAGTAGTGGGATTAAATGGTAAGACCTGTCACTCCCCAGTCTTCTGAATCACAGTCTAGTCGGCCTCACCGCTCACTGCCTCTCTTGTACATCTCTTCATTGGTTTCCCTTCTCAACTCTGTGGTTCTCGTTAGCATGCAAATATGTTGGATTATTTCGTCCATCTTAGAAATACCTCCTTTTTCACTTGAGTTCCACCTTCAGTTACTGTCCTTCTTTTCCTTCCCAAATCCACAAAGCCTCTTAAATGAGTCAGCATCTCCACTCTCTCTTGCCCTTCACTTTCGACCTATGTTGGTTGTCCTCTTTCCTAGATAATCTGTCATGTCACCTCCCCACCCTGCTCTTATTAACGTTTTGACAGTCTCTGACTATTGAGGTGGGTGGTCACTCACTGCTCCTGACATGCTTTCTTCACTTGGTCTTCAGGACATGCTTTATATTCCTTTTGTCTGGCTGCCCTTTTTTGACTGAATTTTGTAGCTCTTCCTCACTTCCCAGATCTCCAAACAAAGGACTTCCCAAACTTCATCCTTGGCTAGTCTTTTAGTAATCACATTGAGTCACAAAACTATACATAATACACACATTCATAATGTCTCAGTTTTATCTTTAGTCTGAACTCTAGGTTCATAAATCTTGTCTGCCTATCTAGTATCTCCTAAATGTCTAATTGTCATCTCCGTTATATCTGAAACGGAATTCTCTACATCACTCTTCCCACTGTCCTGTCCTTATCCCTAACTTCTGTATCCTATAGTCTTGCCCTGCTTCAGTTAATGGAATCCTCATTCTTTATGACATTCATGCCAAAATATTTGAGTCTTTTCTGTCTCTCCCATTCATTTCCATCTGCAAGTCTTTGACTCTACCTTTGAAATACAACCAGAATTGAGCTACTCTTCTCTATTGCCCAAATTTTCTTCCTGGTCTAGACAGCTATCTCCTCAGCAGTGTTTCAGTAATGCCCCAACCATTCTCACAGCTGTCACCCTTGGACCAGTGTAGTTGCTTCCACATGGCAGGCAGCAGCTTATGATCCTATTAAACATAGTCTTCTCATGCCATTCCTCAGCTCTAGTCTCCAGTCTCACTCAAAAGAGGGCCACAGGTGTTTGGTTTGGTTTTTAATAAAATTTTTATTTTATACTGGTTTACTTACAAAGTTTGTATACATTATTTTTCACACTGGATCTTTCCCATTCCCTTTACCCACCCCTCCCTCCACTCACCCAATTGTATGACCCTATGATTACTTCCCTGCCTGTCCTCACCCCTCTTCTGCTACCCTACCCCCCTGGGCTCCTACCCCACCCCCTTTGGATCCTCATAGATGTTTTACTAGTTATCTTTCTATTTTTATAATAATGGGGTTTTTGTTAAATAAAATTTTTATTTTATACTGGTTTACATACAAAGTTCATATTCATTGTTTGTCACACTAGTTTTTTCCCAATTTTTAATGGGACCCAGGAGACCTCTAAGCTTGTCTGCTCCCGCCCTCCTCACACAATTGCAGCCACACTGGCATCGTGGTGGTTGGCAAGCATAGTAGTGCCTGTGCACTTACTCTTCCCTTTGACTAGAATACTCTTTCCCAGTAATCAGATGGCTCACTCTTTCTACTTATTTATTACCTTCTTAGGTGAGATTGCCGTTAGCAACCTTGTCAGCGTTTTCAGCCTGTAATCCTATGAGGATGGTGAGGGTGGGACAGTGTTGTTTTGTTCTGTTGCACTTAAGGTCACTGTGAGTCAGAGTCAACCCAATGGCACTTAACGACAGCAGCATTCCTGTCCTTCTCATGTCCTTCCTTACTTTATTTCCTTTTCTTTACCATAATTTCTGTTTTACTTTGTTGCATTGTCTGTGTCTCTCAGTAAAATCTAAGGTATAGGAAAGCACAATTTGTCTTGTTTAGCTCACTGTTATACCCTCAGCACCTAAAAAAATTACCTAAAATGTAGCAGTATTTCCTGAGTGAACTCATGAATTCATCAGTTTATTTTTTTGCACTTTTCTGTGTTAAGAGCTGAACTCGGTACAAGAGGTAGAAAGGTGAATAAGACTGCCCTGACAGTCCTAGAAATGTAAAATAACACTAAACGTAGTGAAGAAGAGATACTGAAAACACAGAGACTTCTTTGTTCTCCTTCTCCTATGGTTGTTCATATATATATGCATATGAATATATCATTTATATGTAATTGTAAATTTTAAATGTAAGATCTTTGTGTAACTTCAGTGCATAATCTTGCTGTGGATACCAAAGAACTTTCTTCACACTTCATCTTAGAGGTTTTGTTGTTGCTGATTTTTAATATTTAAATATAGCAAGAATTTAAGAAGATAATCAGTGGTGGTATGCCACTGTAACAAAAATTATGTAGTTTAATATTTTTAAATCATCTCTTATTTATCCTGAATTTATTAAAAAGAACTTTTTCTATATAAATGCATTCCGTAGTGGTATCTGGTGTTTCTTATTCTTTATAGCCAGAAAACTAGTACTGTTACCACATCTCAGTCTCTTCTAGTCAGTTAAGGAATTTTGTCTTTCTTCATCTTGAGATAAAACACCAGGATAACTTCTTTTTGTCAATTTAAATTACACATATGCCTATATGTTGTTTGTGAATGTATATACGTATTCGTATATTACTTTAATATTGTTTTCAAATCACTCATTACCTTGTTCACTCCAGACAAGCAGTGATCAGCTTTCATTGATGCTTTTGCTCGGTTCTGTTCCATATGGCCTTTGTTTCACTTGCTCTCTGCTGCCTTTCCTGTGGCCCCTCCACTCCTTCACCAGCAGGTGGAGGAAGACCAGCAGGTGAACACACTAAGGGGTAGCAAGTCCCTCTTCTAAAGTTCCCATCTGTTCGTCTTTGGTACAAAGCTCCCCTCAAGCTTTGAAAGCCAAGGTTTCAGAACAAGTGATTATGTTTGCAAATGTTTTAGGTAAGGGTAAGATTCATTTGTAAAGATGTATTTAATTTGCTTTTTTTCTTAGGAGAAATCTCTTCCTGGTGTTGTCATGGCACTTGTGTGCAATGTATTCGACATGCTTTACCAGCTTGCCAATCTAGAGGAGCCAAGGTAAATACGACTATCTGTAGACCTTAAAAGAGGAATCGAGCAACTTTTCTCTTAAATGTAATTTAATTAATATGCCTTACTAAAGCATTGTGGTAATGAAACTCAGACTAACATGGAAAAAAAAATTATATTTGAAAATTTCAGAATAACTCTCCGAGTTCGAAAGCTTCTGCTTTTGATACCCACTGATCCAGCCATCCAGGAAGCCCTTGATCAGCTTGATTCTTTAGGAAGAAAGGTACGGTATACGTTGTGGACCATTAAGTCACTGGCATGGAAACTTTATATCATGAGTCTGCGAAAATACAACCTGAAGTCACATTCAAACCATTTTAATACCATCTTTCTCATAATTTTTTCCCATCTTTCGAAAAATCCCCTTCCTTACCTTAAATGAACATCAGAACTTCATGTTGCCTTGAAACCTTTACAGTCATCAATTTGCACTTCTTCCTCATGTTTATTAGGAAAGCAAAACCCAGAGAGAGAAAATGACTTGCTATGATCAGACTCTGGTGATGCACTTGAGAAACTTTTCTTCTCTCTGAATTGTTGAAGTGATTATTTGATCTGTTCAGGGTTCCTTGCCTACTGCAGTAGCTTTTACTTTGTTCACAGTTGATATTACAAGTTCTTGTTTAAGTTTTAGAGTGATGATCTTCAGTGTTCCAGAGCATATATTGTTTGCAAGTGAAGTACCCATGCCTGTACTGCACAATAGTATGTTTAAAAAAACAACACATAAAGGGGTCAGAAAGAATATAGCATGTGCACATTATTTGCATTGAAATACTGTATATTTTCAAATTGTTTTATCTCAAATGGAGTTTAATTATGTTTTCAGAATAAATTAAAATTAATGGTATTGCTGAGTATTTTCTAAGGTACGGGTCAGTTTGAGTCAACTAATGGCTTTATCACAAGTATTCTGTTATTTTTGGGATAAAAAACCTAATGTAGCACACACCACTAAAAATTAACTTCAAAAAGTTCTCGGGATTATTGCCTCAGTATTTTAAAAAAATTATTGGTGTTTGAAGTTTAAATTTTAAAACACTGAATCAAATTAAAATGGCTTTGCTATTGTTGCTTAGAATGCATTCTCAACTTTCATGTGGTATTGTAATAAGCACTTCTTATTTGTCTGGTAAAGTTTGCTGTTTGTTCATTATTACAGTGACATGGTTTCTGCTTTATTTTTTTAAAAAATATAAGGGATAAAAATATTGGTATATGTACTGGGATTTCTTTCTCTTTAGTGTGTGCTTTTAAAACGTTTTCTTTTTTGTTGTTCTTTCAAACATAGAAGACATTACTCTCTGAATCAAGTTCTCAGTCATCAAAATCTCCTTCGCTCTCTTCAAAGCAGCAGCATCAACCTAGTGCCAGTTCAATTTTAGAAAGTCTGTTTCGATCTTTTGCTCCAGGAATGTCCACCTTCAGAGTGCTCTACAACTTAGAAGTAAGAGGCATGATTTTATTTTCATTTGGTTTGATAAATCTGTTTTGATTTGTAGATTCTTGCTTCCAGAAAGAAGTAAATAGATTTCTTTTACTATAGGATGATTTGTTAGGAATTCATTTTTTTTAAAAAATAGAATTCAAATTTAAACTTTTTGTGTTTTGCCTTTGGACTTCTCTGTTTCTTTTTGTTTATACTTAATCTGCATTATTAAACTTACAAAATAACATATAAGTAAATAATTGCTGCTGATAACTTTCAAGTTGCTTTCAGTGCAGGACAATTTCATGTGCATTGTACTCCATGTGGAGTACAACGGCTGATTTTTCAGAAGTTAAATACATCTTAATTTTTTGTTTTTAAAGATGCTATAATTTGTTGATGTTGTTAGTTGCTATCTGATTGGCACCAACCTATAGTCACTTTATATCACAGTGAAAGGTTGCCTGGTTCTGTGCCATCTCTGAGCTTTTTATCTATAAGGCTTTCGTGGACTGATTTTTAGAAGTAGATCACCAGGCCTTTATTCCTAGTCTGTCTTGGTCAAGAGGCTCCACTAATCTTTGCCTGCCATAGGTTGCCCTTCTGATATTTGAAATACTGGTAGTATAAATTCCAGCATCATTACAACTCTCAAGCCATCACGTACAAACAGATAGATGAATGGTGGCTGCTATGTTCATGAAGCTTTGTGAAGAATTTGTCAGTGAGCATACTAACAGTATTATCTCAGGGGAATCCCAGTAATCCTCTGAGATAGTACATATGATCCCATTACTAATAGGTAACAGAGGCAAAAGAAGAAATTGCATGTCTCACTAGTAGGTGGTAAAACTCAGGTACAAACTAAGTTTGTGGTCTTGAACTGTGGTGTGATTGGTTATGTGAAATAATTCTTACCAGAATACGAACATAAGCTTTCCTCCAGGGAGGCATTACAGTGCCTTAGAAAGGACATGAGCAAGAGTGCCAAATGTATATGGATTTGAGTTAAAGCTTCATGACCTTAAGGTCACCTAACTTCTTAAGTCATAATAAGATTAAGAGGTGATGAATGGTAAACCGCTCAGCTTATGCTTAGTGTGTGGTAAGCCAGACCAGCTGTCTTCCAGAATATAACTGCTTCATAGGGTTTCCAAGGCTGTACATCTTTACAGAAGCAGACTGCCACATTTTTCTCTTTAGAAGCAGCTGATGGGTTTGAAGTACTGGCCTTTGGTGTTTAACTACCAGAGCTGCTGATAAAGGCTACTTTCCTGTCTTCCGCATGAGGCCAGTGGACTTTGTCTCTAACTTAGTTCTGAATTCCATTCTGACTACACTATCCATCATAAGTCAATTCTCATTTAAATTGAATATCCTTCCCCATTATAATTGTCTTTTATTATCAATATCTTTATAAAATCCAGTCTGAATATCTAAGAATGATTACACCAGCAAATAGCCTGCTTTAACACTGTATATACAATGTTTTATTGAAAGTAAGATGTAACAAAAAAATGTGATCACAACTGCAGTTTGTCATAATGCAAGTTTGTTGTAAGTCAGGCAACTGCTGTGTAAGTGATGTTGTTGTTGTTGTTAGGTGCCATCAAGTCAAGTACAACTCGTAGTGATCCTGTGAACAAAAGATTTGAACCCACTTCTCTCCTGTGCCATCTTCACACTTCCTGATCCAGCAGAGCCTATTGTGGCAATCACCAAATCAATCTGCCTGGTTGAGGGTCTTTTCTCCTTCGCCAACCCTCCACTCTTCCAAGCATCATGTTCCTCTCCAAGAAGTAGGCCCTCCTAGCAACATGCCTCAAGTATGTGAGGTTAAGCCTCATTATCTTTGCCTCCAAAAGCACTCTGTCTGCACTCCCTCCAGTGCATACTTGTTTCTTCTTTTGGCCATCCATAGGATGTTCAGTGCACTTCTCCAACACCCAAACTCAAAGGCATCAATTCTTCTGTCATCGTTATTCATTGTCTAGCTCTCAGATGTCTAGCAAATGAAAACCCCGTGAACAGTAGAGGAATGCAGGTAGTATACGTGATAGATGATATTATCACCATTATTAATGGGAGTCCTGGTGACACAGTTGGTAAGTGCTTCGCTGTTACTAGAAGATCAGCAGTGTGAACCTACCAGCTGTTCCTCGAGAGAAAGATGTAGTAGTATCCTTCCATGAAGATTATTGTTGTGACAGAGCAGAGTTTAGGGCTATTGTACATAGGGTCGCTATGAGTCGCAAGCGACTCGATGGCACATAACAACAACAACCATTGAGTTGGACCAACTCATAGGTGGACCCTCCAGTGAGTTTTCAGAAATAGTAAAAAGCATGGCAGTTGATTGCTCATCTTTCTCCAGCAGAGCAGCTGGTGGATTTGAACCGTGGGTCTTTGGATTGATAGTGAAATTCTTTACCACTAGGCCAAGACTTTGGAAATGTTCAAGCAGTTGGAGTTATTATTTAGGCACTCATTTAGCACTTCTGTTAGGCTATATTATAAACTTCTGGTTTATGTACTTTAAAAAAAAGTATCTAGTATATTACCATCAAATGATACATTGTTATCTAAACCTGAGAGCCTTAGATTTTCACGTTTGCTGATTTCATATAAAGAGCACACTAGCTTTCTTTGGAACAGAAAGATATTTCTTACTAATAAGCAGAATTTGGAAACGGATTCTTTTCATTGTGAAACATCAGCCATTTTATACTTCTGGGGGAAATGATAGCATTTCAAGACAGTGTTGTAAAGGGTTGCACTGCCAACCCAGGGGTGAATGGTTTGATCCCACCAGCTGGTCTGTCAGAGAATAATGGGCAGCTTCCTCATGCCTCATGTACAATTTGCAGCCTCTGAAAACCCACTGGAGGTCAGCTATAAGTCACTTCCGACTTGACGGCAATGACTGAATGAAGGATGCCCTCTGACTGCTGAAATGATTAATTGTGCCTCTCTGCATCCTAGGTGCTGAGCTCTAAACTCATGCCAACAGCTGATGATGACATGGCAAGAAGCTGTGCCAAATCCTTCTGTGAGAACTTCCTCAAAGCAGGAGGCTTGAGGTTAGAATTTCAGTGTGTTACGTGAATTACAGAAAGTGAATGTCATTATATTAATTTCTTACACAGAGGTTTGCTTATTGATAAAAGGTATTTTGTGAAAAACTGTGAAAGTTATGATAAAGAATGAATGGTTCAGTCCTTTGAAATATTTTAACTCATTTCACAACTTTTGATTATGTGCAAAACTTGTAGAAACATGCCTCTGTCCTGATAGTGGGGAAAATTCTCAGAAAGAATAAAAGTGAAGCAAACAGTAACTGTTTCTTTTGTTTTCCATGTTAGTTTAGAATAAGGCTAATTTGATGCCCTCAGTAATCCATATGGTGCAAGGAATTCTGCTTAGAGCTAAAGATACAAAAATCAATTACATATTACTCCAGTCCTTGAGATGTTCATGGTTTAACAAAGGGAAGAAATACACACTTTAACCACATTATAAGTATTTTAAAATATGCATTTTTTTTATTTTTTTTTTAGAAGTGCTTGAAGTCCTAAGACTAGGAAGTAACTGATGGGAAGTGGCATTTTAATTGAGAATGGAACAAAAATTGAAAAAATACATAGAAATTTCCTCAGCAGATAAAAAAAGGAAAGGGCATTCTAAGGCTCCAGGGCATAGTGGGAGGTTGAGGAAGTTAGTGAAAGACAAGAATGAGTGGAAGGGATCAATTCCCTGGCCTATCTGGGAACTTTAGTAAGGCTTCATTGAAAGATGTTGTGGATGTTGTTTTTATTAATATTATTATGTGACATTGAGTCACCTGCAACTCATATGGACTCTATGTACAACAGCTCTGAAGCCTGCTCTATCCTGAGTCAATCTCACTGACTCCGACACACCTAACCCCATTGCCCAGCTACCCTGTCAGTCCATCTCATCTGGGGTCATTCTCGTCTTTTTACCCTTCCAAGCATGATGTCCTACTCCAGAACTGGTCCCTCCTGGCTCCGTGCCCAAAACCTGTGAGACAGAGCTTCAGAATTTTTGCCTTCGAGGAGAAACTTGGTTTTACCCTCTCCCACACAGACCTGTTTATTGAACATAGCATGGACTGCCAGGAAAACAATCTTTTCCAGCACCCCAACTCAGAGGCATCAATTCTTCTATATTCCTTGATCTTTTGTCCAGCTCTTTTCATAGCAAGTAATTGCAAAGATCTTGGCGTGGACTGAGGCACACCTTAGTTGGGAACAGGGAAGAAGGATCAGTAGTCGGAAAACACAGACTTGCTGACAGAAATGAGGCTGGAGATAGAATTCTGTACAGTCACTGATTCATTGCCAGTACCCTTTATAAGAAACATAAAAGGTGCCTGTACACATGGATTTTACCTGAAATCAGATCAATTGCATGTGTGTAAAAAATCGTTAGAGAAGCTCAATATCAGCTATGAAAACCAGACCAGGTGCTGATTTTGGAACAGATCATCAACTACTCATGTGCAAGTTCACACTAATAGTAGCTAAAGAAGGTTAAATCACAGGAATCAATATTTTACCTTGATTTTAAAAACCATCTCATGAACAAGCTTAAGGCTTGAACACTAATGAGAGAAGACCAAATGAGCTGGGGAAGGATATCAAGAATATCTTCCAGGAAGAATGTAAAAGGTCATTACAACAACAGAGGAAGAAGAAAAGCTCTAGATGGATGTCAGAAGAGACTGTGAATATTGCACTGCAATGCCAAGAAGCCAAAGCAAAGGGAAGGAATCAAAAAGTTGAGCTGAACAGAAGATTTTGAAGGGCAATATGAAAAGACAAAATATTATAATAATGAAATGTGTAAAGAGCTGGAGTCAGAAAAAGGACCAAACTCACTCAGCGTTTCTTAAGCTTAAGGAACTGAAAAGCAAATTCAAGCCTTCAGTTATAATACTTAAACATGCAATGGATCCAGATAGCATTAAAAGAAGATGGAAGAAGTACACAGAGTCATTGTACCAAAAAGAATTGCTGACACAGAAGAATTTCATGAAACAACATATGACCAAGAGGCAATAGTGATAAAGGAAGAAGTGCAAGCTGCTCTGAAGGAGCTGGCAAAAACCAAGGCCCCAGGAATTGATGGAATACCAATTGTCATGTTTTAACAAACAGATGCAGCCCTGTATCTGTTCACCAGGTTGTGCCAAGACAAATGGTGGACAACTATGTGGCCCACTGACTGGAAGAGATCCATATCTATTTCTATCCAGAAAAGAGGTGACCTGAAAGAGTGTAGAAATTATTGAACAGTATTACACACAAGTAAAATCCTGCTGACGATTATCCAGAAACAACTGAAACAGTACATTGACAGAGAACTACCAGAAACACAAGCAGAGTTTAGAAGAGGCTGTGGCACTAGAGACAGTCACCAGTGTCATATTGATCTTGACTGATAGCAAAAAATACTAGAGGAATGTCTGTCTATTTGTGTTTGGTTTGTTTTTTCACCATGTGAAGGCATTTGATTGTGTGGATCACAACAAATTTTGGGTAACCTTGAAAAAAATGAGGGGAAAAAATGAGAATTCCACAACACTTGATTGTGCATTGAAGAATAGTGAAAAGAAAGAGTTAAGTAAGGGTACCATGTTGAAGTATTTGAGTTTCTGGTTGTTGCCTTGTAAACCATAGGAAAATGAGAGATTTCTAAGCTAGGAATTATGTAGAACAGTTACTTTTCCAGTGTTGGCGAAAAGGAACACAAATGGGAGGGCTTGGAAGCTAGAAATACATTAAAACTATAACAGTGATTTAGAGAAGAGACACAGGTCTTATATTTAGGACAGTGGTAGAATGATATTTATAAGGTAAATAACACCTCTTTATGATTGATTAGACATAGAGTAGAGACATTTATAAAGTGACTTTATACTTCTTATCCTGGGAAAGAGAGAAAATTCTTTCTTTCCAGTCAGTATGAAAATAGACTGATTTGGGAGGATGGAAGAAACAGGAAGGCAAGAGACTGACATGTGATTGTATGTGAGGTCACTTGGAGACATATGTATAGATGATTTGTCTATAGTGCTCAGGAGAAAGATGGAGAGGGTCTTAGAGAATTGGGGGAGTCCTGAATGTTTAGATAAAGCTGGCCTAAGTCAGCTAGAGCCGAGAGCTATATGCAAGGTAGGGAATAGAGTCAGTGAGTAGAAATCTGTTTTACGTGAGGAAAACAAGGTCATGGTGCCTGAAGGGAAGAAGAGCTGAGGGGCATGTTTACGTTCTTTCATTTTAGCTTGGAGAAGACTTGGTTCTTGTTGAAAGCCGACTAGGAGCTGGTAAAGAAGAGTTAAGACGAAGGGAAAAAAGGCATAATTAGCCCTGTCTGAATATTCGCTTGCAGGAAGTATGGCAGAAATGTTACACCTTGGGTCTGCAGTCAGACAGACCCACTTCTCAGAGAAAGATGGCATACTTGGTAAAGTAGAAGGTCGGATGACCAAAACCGAGGCAGACCTTTAACAGTATCGGGCTGGCATAGTGGCTGCAGCAGTGCCTTTAAGTGCAGCAGAGAGGGTGAGTGTGGCACAGATTCAGGCAATGCTTCAGTCTCTTGTATGTATTAGAGCTGTTAACAGCAGTGCCTTTAAGTGCAGCAGAGAGGATGAGGGTGGCACAGGCTCGAGCAGTGATTCATATTAGTGTTAGTCATAGTACCTCTACAGAGCCTGCCAACAACAGAGTCACTCTAAAATGGAACAGGCATACTATGTCCTCTGAGCTGGGAAGTAAAGACCACCTTGAAACTTGATAGAAACTTTTGAAGAATTGAAGAAAATTTCAATTGAGAGATTCCTTTGTGAATGTCTTGAGAGAAATAAAAGTTAAGGACTTTGAGGACACAAGCAGAAATGCAGGCTAAAAGAGTTCACCTACAACATGAAAGTCTTGTTTTACTTTGGTGTAGCATTGCAGAAGTGTTCTTAGTTAAACCTCATTTTCTGTTACTTAGCCAATTACAGAGCTGTGGTAATAAAGACATTTTTACTTTTGGCTAATTTTTGCACAGGAGCCCTGAAGGCACTGTGGTTGAGTATTTGATTACTACCTTTAAGCCCACCAGCCACGCCTCAGTAGGAAGCAGCATTCCGGTTCTGGAAACAATTGTAGCGTTAGAAACCCTTTGGAGATAGTTCTATTCTGCCCTGTAGTCAGCATTGACTCAGTAGCAATGGATTTGGTTTGGAATTTATGTGTAACAGTTAGTTTATTTTCCCAGTTTTGTTCTGAGAATGAAGAATAGAGCAATAAGTAGCTTAGATATTCATGTCTCTTGAAGCTTACACCATGAGAAGAATAAACAGTCAATAAACAACTAAAGGTCTATCAGATGGTGATATAATTGTAGAAAAAATAAGGAAAGGGAGGACGAGGTGGGGTAGTCCATCAGGAGTTGTGCGGTTAAGCCAAAGGCAGTGCATTTCTGAGGGCTCAGGTCCACCAGAAGCTCCTCAAGAAAAAGATGGGCACTCTCCTCCCATGCATTTTACAGCCTCATGACTCCTACTGGAGAGGAAGGAGCTGATTCCAGTTCAGTGGCAATGAGAGAGAAGTTAAGAAAAGCTTCACTGATGAGGTGACATTTTACAAGACTTGAGAGAAACAAGGTCACTAGACAGACATCTGGAGACGCTTGTCAGAAGCAGCTTCCCTGTCTATCGCCAGTGGAGATGTGGACCAGCAGGAGCCTGTGGGGTTGGGTCAAGGTCAGTGAGGTTAGGAAGATCCCAGAGTGTAAGATACGTAGTACATGATAAGTTCCTCTGAAGATTGCCTTGCCTTTTTCTCTCTATTGGTAGTAGGGAAATATTGCAGGATTTTGAGCAAAGAAAGTGCTACAATCTTACTTACTTAAAGGTTAACTCTGGTCAATCTTAATAGATTTGAAAGTAGGGAAAAGTTGAAAGTAGAAACAAGGACACCAGCGATTGGAAAGGTTTTGTAGAAACATAGATTGTAGTAGATGTAGTGAGAAACAAACTTGGTTAAATATACCAAATTTGGATGTATTTTGAGTTGCTTGTTCAGCTACTACCAAGATAATAGTTGTTTCTTGAACGCAAGCAAACCAGTTAGTGAGAAGACATACTATCCAAAGTGCTCTATCTGCTGTTAAGTAGATCATGAAAGTTACGGTGATCATAGAGAATCATTGTGTTGCAGAAATTTTTATTGACAGTACTTGGAACCAATATATTAATTCTGGCAAATATTCTTGTAAAAGAAAGAAGTGTTTAATATTCTGCTTTTCTTTTCTTTTCTTTTCAGTTTGGTTGTAAATGTTATGCAGAGGGATTCCATCCCATCAGAAGTAGACTATGAAACTAGGCAAGGTGTTTATTCCATCTGTCTGCAACTTGCAAGGTATGTGAATAACGCATTCCTTAGTCAATGCTTGATTTTCTTTTTCTCCTCAAGAGAAAATAGTACAGAATAATGTAGAGTAAGTCTACCTTCTTATCTCATTTTGAGGTTTTTGCTTGTTGGACAAACAATGCCCACATTATTAGATGAAGACCTCACCAAAGATGGCATAGAAGCACTTTCTTCTCGCCCATTCCGAAATGTCAGCCGACAGACCAGCAGGCAGATGTCCTTGTGTGGCACTCCAGAAAAGTCATCCTACCGGCAGTTGTCAGTGTCTGACCGATCCTCTATCAGAGTCGAGGAAATCATCCCTGCAGCCCGGGTTGCGATTCAAGTAGGTGATTTGTGTGTTCAAGAGGGTGTAAGTACCTCCTGTTAAGAGGGCATTGCCTTAGATCTGTGGGGTTTGTGCAGATAGAAGAGGGATTAAGACTTGCATATTGTTTTTAAGGAACTTACGACGAGTAAGAAAGTGAGCATTCTATATAAGAGGGATTAACACCTTCACCAGTGACTGTCATGAGTGATTTTATAGTAGGAAATGGCATTTGAGCTAGGCCTCGAAAAATAGACAGATTAAATATAGAGAAAAGGAAGTAGGAGAAGAGAGCTCTAATCTCCCAAAAGGGAGAGCATGAGTACAATTAGACAAAACCTGAGTTTGTATGGAAGATTACAGTTGTCTGAAATGTAGTCTGTGTGAAGAGAGAAAATCATGAAATTAATAGAATACTTTAGGCTTGAGCATATCAGAGATGGTGAAAATGGCACAAGATAGGGCAAGGTTCAGACCTGTTACTCATAAGGTTTCTATGAGTCAATTGCTCAGAAGGCTGCTATCACTGATTTAGTTGCAATTAAGAACTCAGTTATGGAGTTCAGAGTTTCTGTGTTCTGGGTAAGAGAGGGGACATTAAAAGTCTTTGAACAGTGTGGTGTTGTGAAGGAGACTCTCCTTCTGAACGATCTTGAAAAGAAAAGAGTCTTGAAAAATTGAGAGCCGTGAGAAGGTTATAGAAATCATAGGATGTGCTCAAGTGCTGCTTTCTCTCATAACATTCTTTCCAAACTTCTTCAGACGATGGAAGTAAGCGATTTCACTTCTACTGTGGCGTGTTTCATGAGATTGTCATGGGCGGCAGCGGCAGGACGCCTTGACCTTGTTGGAAGTAGCCAGCCAATTAAAGAAAGTAATTCGCTGTTTCCTGCTGGAATTAGAAACAGACTCAGCAGTTCAGGTATTGACCAAATAGAGAAAACATAACTGTGGGCTCTGGTAGCTATCATAATTATCCATACACACAGATAAAGCAAAAAGATATATACAGATATATAAAAAGATATACACAGATATATACAAAAAGGAGAAAGCTCTTTCTCTTGCTTTTGAGCCTGAGTAAAGAGTCATTAAATTCATTATCTATGCATATTGCAGTCTGTCCATTGTACTTTTAAAGGGTGGGAGATGGGGTGGAGATGGGAGTTTGTAAACACAGAAAGTAGGGAAACTAAACCAAGCAGGATCTTTAACTTTTCTTAGTATTAAAAGGTCATAAAGCAAATTGGATCTAATACAGATTTATCTAGAATTCATTCCTGAAAAACAGACTTTTCTTAGTTTGACCAGTTTTCTATTAAGCCTTCATAAATAGTTTTATTCCTCAGATTCTCCTTTGGTTTTCCATTTGATCTATGTGTTTATAAAACTTTAGGTTTTTTAAAAATTGAGTTTTATGTCATGTATACATGCAGAAATGGTAAATTTAAAGGATTTTGTTAGGGTTTTTATATTTAAGTACATATAAATAATCTAGAATTTAAAAAAAAGAGTATTTCTAGTGGTCTAGGAAAATCAAAGACTCCACAGCCTTCAATATGGGTCACATCTCAACATCAGGAAAACCAAAATCCTCACCTTACCATAACAGACAACGAAATGATAAAGGAAATATTGAAGTTGTTGACCATTTCATTTCACCTGCATCCACAATCACAGGCTCACTAGCAAAAGTTAAGAAATCTAAAGATAAGTTACATTGGGTAAATCTACTGTCAAAGACCTCTTTAAAGTGCTTAAGAGCAATAGTGTTAATTTAAAGACTCCAAGTGTATCTCAAGCAGATCATAGTATTTTCAGTTGCTTCCTATTCTGTCTGAAATTTGGACAGTGAATAAAGATGCCAGAAGAAGAACCGATACCTTTGAATTGTGGTGCTAGAGAATAGTATTGAATATCTCATGGACTGCCAAAAGAACATAAAAATCAGTCTTGGAGAAAGTACAACCAGAGGCAAGGATGATGACATTTCATTTCACATTTGGACATGTTGTCAGGAGGACTTGTTGGGGAAAATAGAGGGTCAGTGAAAGAGAAGAAGACCTTTGACAAAATGGATTGATACAGTGACTGCAACAGTGATCTTGAGTATAAAGGAGTGAGAGTGGTTCAGAAAAGAGCGAGATTTAGATCAGTTATTAATACGGTCGCTGTGATTCATAGTCCATTCTGTGGAACCTCACAACAACAGGAGGACTCAAAATTATATAAACTCCCAAGAGTGTAATACTCTTACTTCTGTTACTTTAAACGCCCTCTACTTTGTGCCTCAAAATGTATTTTAAGTAAAGAGAAGTTGTGATGTTTTAAGTTAGAGTAATCAGATCTTTTTTTTTTCTCAGACTAAAGTGCTTTTTTGACCTAGTTAATGTCTCATAAGCTTCTGGAACACACTGAAAGGATATTAGAGCTATTGCATACTTTCTGAAGGATTCTTACATTTGTGCTTGTTTATTTTCAGGAAGCAATTGCAGCTCTGGGAGTGAAGGAGAACCAGTAGCTCTGCATGCAGGAATCTGCGTTCGACAACAGTCTGTATCCACCAAAGACTCACTGATTGCAGGAGAGGCCTTGTCTCTTTTGGTTACGTGCCTACAGCTTCGCAGCCAACAGCTGGGTAGGCTTGAGGTTTACTTACGATTAATTACTTCTAATTTAGGAAAGGGCTAGTTTTCTGCTAGAATTATTTCTATTCATAGATAAGGTTGTACATAGAAATAAAAAGTAAAATTGGGCAGAATTGGCATGTAAACTAAGTAACTGCTGTACTAGAATGGTGTTAAATCTAAACAGATGTTTAGTGAGCACCTTCCGCACAAGGTTCCATAATCAGTGGTAACGGCTACAGTGTGTCTGTCTTCCTAGAGCTTACCATCTATTGAGAACTTTAAACATCCCAAATTTACTGCTTCACAAACTATAGAATAAAGAAAAAAGAAAAAAAATCTGTGCCATCAAATTGATTCTGACACATCGAGAACTCCCATTGGATTTCCAATGTTGTAAATCTCAACAGGAGGAAACAGCCCATCTTCCACAGGGCAGTAGGTAGATTTCACCTATTGACTTTTTTGGTTAGCACCACATTGGTAATTTGCCAAAATTCTGTTATCAGTTCTAAAATGTTATTGGTTACCGTCAAGTCTAGCACAACTCATAGTGATCTATGAACAAAAGGCCTGAAGCCTTTCTATAACTATCAAAGTTCATAGAGTTTCCAGAGGCATGTTGTTTAGGAAGTGGATGTCCCTCCTGCTTCCAAGTATTAATGAATCCATTACTAAAGTTTATGAAATTTTAAATTTGCCCTTTTATCTTGGCTGTTACGTGGTCAGTCTGGGGCTGTTATTAGTGATTATTCTTTCAACGCTAGAGCTCGGTCTCTTGGCCATCCTCTCTTCTCTGTCTGCAGTCACTTTCTTTTTGTGGTGATTTTATTAATCTGACAACCTTAAATTGTGTGTATAAGCTGACAACTCCTAAATTTGAATCGGTATCCACTTAGGTGCCAGATAGATGCTCTACAGCTAATCTGCCCAGAATTGAACTATTGGCCTTACCCCTATCACCCCAGAGATTTCCAGCCTTGTTAATCATAACTTCATTCCTCATATCACCAAGGTTTTTAAAATCTTGGTGTCTGACTACTCTCTCCCACCCCCTCATCTGGCAGGACATCCTGTTTCAGACAGTATCAAGATTCCATTCTGTAGGACCACCTTCATTCTAATTACCCTTCAAATCTCCATCCTTTCTTCCTTGGACTAGCAGTAGTGCCCTAAGTAATATCCCTGCTTCAGCTTTTGCACATCATTCTCCATTACCAGAATGGACTTTATGTATTATGAATGGACTATTATGTATTCAAAACCTCCCAGTGGCTTACCAGTCCATATGGAGTGAAAATTCAGAGTGCTTTCTAAGGCTTGATAACTTCATCACTCCCCTCAGTACTTCTGTGTCTTCACCGTCTCTTGCTCCTCCCTTTGTTCACTGTGTTTCCACTGCTCTGGCCCCATGCTGTTCCCCGGTGCTGTAGACGTGTTCCCGCCTCAGGGCCCTGTACTTGTGTGCTCTTTCCCCATATATCCACATAGCTCTTCCCTCATGTGCTGCAGGTCTTTGCTCACTTGTCACCATCTAATGAGACCAGAGTGATCCTTAGAGGAAAAAATTGTGAAACTTCATCTCACATACTTTAAGCATGTTGTCAGGAGGGGCCAGTCCTTGGAAAAAGATACGTTGATGGGAATGGTGGCTGGTCAGAGAAAGAGATGACCTTACATGGGATGATAACAATGGGATCAGGCATATCAGAGGTGGCAAGGGTGGCACAGGACAGGGAAAGGTCCAGTTCTGTTGCTCTCAGGGTCACTGTGAGTTGTAGTTGACGTGATAGTACCTAACAACAAAAAGATGTTTTTCCTGCCTGCCTTTTAAAAAAACACAACCCCTTGCTTGGTGGTGTAGTCTATGGCAAATTGCCTTGCAAACCCAAAGTTAGTTTGGAAATGGCCAATATACCCCATGTGATTTGTCTCCTGGAAACTCACCTAAGGGTTAACTCTGAGTCAGTTCTGACTTGAAGGCAGTGCGTTTGAGTTTTGAATGAGACCTTCAGGCTACCTTTTAAAAAACACAACCCTCTCTTTGCCCTTTTGTTATTACGTGCCATGTGGTTGGAACTGACTCATAGCTGATCCTCCAGTGGGTTTTCAAAGGCTGTATACCACATGAGAGGGGATTGCCCATCTTTTTCCTATGGGGCAGCTGGTCAATTTGAACTCCTTGCCTTTGGGTTGTGAGTGCAACTCCTTACCAAGTAGGCCACTAGAGGTTCCTTTGCTCTAGTACTACCAGAATCCTTATTTCACTCTGTAACGCTTACTTACTAAGTAATGTGGTGTAATCATTTCTTATGTCCAGTGTCCCATACTAGATTACACACTTCATGAAGACAGAGACTATTGTCTAGTTTTAGTAATTCTACTTTAAAAATGTATACCAACACTTAGGAGCTTCTAACTGTTATTACTAATTCATAAAGCTTGTTGACATAGATAGAATTGGTGGTGATTGTTAAATCTTTAGGATAACATATAATAATTACATATATCAAAATAAATATGTAGAAAATGTTAAAATATTTATAAAGTATTAAAATAGCATCCGAAAGTATGTACTTTGAACAAAAATGCTTTTCGTGGTTTATATATGAGAAGCTTAAGCCATTATAAATGCTTTTGAAAGTATAGCATAGTCTCATTTCTGGCTTTGTAGAATTTTAATTTAGAGATTATTTTCAGATCAGAATGAGAAGAAACTATAACTTCTCAAGGAGCCCAGATGAAAGAGTGGTTAAGTGCTTGTCTCCTTACTGAAAGATGGGCAGATCAAACCCTTCGAGCAGCTTCGCAGGAGCTGCTGATCTGCTGTTCCAGTGACTGCAGCCAAGAATTTCCTCTGGAAATTTCTGCTCTGGCTGCTGGGCTTTGACTCTGCAGTATCTTAACAGCATATTTAATTTCGGATACAGTTTTTAGCTAAGTGAGTACAGTGGTGGTTTAGTGCAATAGCTATTTATTCTGTAAATGTTTGTGGCAAGGTATTGTGCCAGCTTTGGAGATATGAAGGTGACTAGGGCATGGCTTTTGTTCTTGAGCATCTTAGAGTTTCATGGGGTAGATCGACAGATGTGGAAACTGTCATAGAAAATCTAGAATTCACATTCTGTGTAAAAGAAAGGATTATTTACATTTTTTGTTATTTTTAAAATACATTGTCTAACTTAATTCTCCCCTCCTCTTCCTCACCCAATTCCCCTTTCTATTGTTAGCATCTTTTTATAACTTGCCCTGTGTTGCTGATTTTATCATTGATATTCTACTTGGATCCCCAAGTGCTGAGGTAAGAATTTTTTGATGACTTTCTAAAAATCCCTTTAAAGGATCCTGTTGTGATATGGGCTCTCTCAGATAGCAGTGACTCTGTGGGAAGGATTGAAAGGAGGGCATTTCGTTCTCAGAGAGCCCTGCTTCTCTCAGCATGGGCCTCACGGTACTCTGAGTGCACAGTCAGCACTCATACTCTGTGGCTCCTGCATATTTCACCAACAGTTAGAAGACGGCTCTACTATGATTACCTAGGGGCCAGAGGCATACTATCTGGTTTTTATTATAAGGAACTATTTTCTATTTGTATATTGCAAATAAAGTGAGTAGTCAGGGTTCAGATTGATGGCTTACCAGGGCAGCTGGCATTGAGGTTGACATGTTCATGAAAATTAGGAAAACCAACCTTAAGTCCTGAACTTGCATTAGATTTTATGATTCCCAGCTTCTTACATGGCCTTGAAAATGAACTTTTAAAAACTCTTAATAGTTTTTCTTTCTTTGATTAAGACTAGCTTAATAATTACAGAGGGAAAGCTTTTCCCCAAATATGCTTGTTTTTAATTAGCCCAGTTTTATTCAGTGGGAACTTTGCCTTTAACAGTTGAAACTCATAGCTTGATAAGCATCCATCAATAACTTGAATGAATAAGTAAATACTACGGTCTTTGGAGGAGAATCCTTTTTTTTGATTGAAATAATCAAGGATTTAATTTTAATTGGATCTACAATCAATACCAATAGAAGCCATAGTAAAGAAATTAACAGCATATTGCATTGGGAAAATGTTCTGTCAAGGATCTCTTTTTTTTATCTTTCCTTTTTATTTATTTTAATGAAAGTTTACAAAGACTTGGGGTTTCCAGTCATTCATTGTTGCACTTTTCTCCCTGCCCACCCACTCCCCCCCAATTCCCTCTTTTCCTTGAAAAGTAAAAGAAAAACTCTTTCATTGTTATGGAGTCCCTCCCCGCAAGTTCCACTGTGCAGCCTTCATTCTGGACTCCTGTCATGACAATAATACCCAGTCGTATATCTCTTTTAAACAGTTCTCTCCCTCATCTGTTTCAATGCAGTATGCATCATTCCTCCCCTCCTTCTCTGCCTTCCCTCAACCCTGATGTCAGTCCTGTTTTATAACAGTGGCCCTATGCAGTATTTGTCCTTTTGTGACTGAGCTATTTAACTCAGCGTAATGTCCTCCAGGGTCATCCATTTTTCATAATATTTCATGAGTTCCTTGTTTTTCAATGCTGCATAGTATTCCATTGCTTCTCTATCCATTCAATTCCAGAACTTCTCTATCCACTCATTTGTTGATGGGCACTTGGATTGTTTCCAGCTCTTTGCTATTGCGAACAAAGCCGCAATAAACATGGGTGTGCAGAGGAGAATCCTTTTTAAGCAGTTTTAATGGGTTGATTGATGTATGTCCTTTGCTGATGGTGTCATTTCAGATTCGCCGTGTTGCCTGTGACCAACTGTATACTCTCAGTCAGACAGATACTTCATCTCACCCAGATGTACAGAAACCAAATCAGTTTCTTCTAGGTGTTATCCTCACGGCTCAGCTGCCTCTCTGGTCTCCAACCAGTATTATGAGAGGAGTCAATCAGAGGTAAGTAGCAAAGACAGGGATAGCAGAAGTTATACAGAAAGAGAAAAAGAATGAATAATGAATTGTATATATCACTCCTCTGAAGACTAAGGTGCATTTTTAAGATGATCAAAGAATTTTTGTTTGCCTTGACTCTGCTCTTAGTGCCCTGAGAGAAGGCGTTTATGGTTTTCTCTCCTTTCAGGTTAGGAGAATTAGAAGAAGCACCACCAGGCTTTCTCCATCCTTTGTTCTCCTCCTTCATCCTATGGGTCTACCTACCCCACAGAGAAGGAGGGCTCACCCTGTTGATGAGAGCCTGAGGTTGAGCTAGGTCATAGTATAAATGTCACCACACCACTCTTCTTATTCATCACTTTCTCTCTGTATACTTTATAACACAATGTTTGCAGGTAGCTCTGGACAGTCCATATAAGTTTCTTAGTTTTACATGTACATGGGCATGTAGGAAAGTTATGATTCAGATTTTAAAATCATTTGGGTAAATTGGTTCTGCCTTTCATAGGAAGATGATTGTTAACAGCTTATCAGAGACCTTTTCAGAGCAACGATGTCAGTCTAGAGACTAAGGTGTGCCTGATCCAGGTCATAGTCTTTGCAGTTACTTGCTATGCATCAGAAAGCTGGGCAGTGAATAGGGAAGATAGAAGGAGAACTTTGAGCTGTAGTGCTAGAGAAGAGTATTGACTATTCCATGGACTGCTAGGAAAACAAACAAGTTTGTCCAGAAAGGGGTGAGACCAGGCTGCTCCTTTGAGGCAAGGATTCTGAAGCTTTGTCTGACATACATTGGACATGTTGCAAGGTGGGACCTGTCTTTGGAGAGGAATGTTGTGCTTTGGAGGGTAGAGGGACAGCACAAGAGAGGAAAGCCCTCAATGAGATGGATTGATTCAGTGACTGAGGTAATGGGGCTACGTGTGTTAGAGACAATAAGATTGGCATAAGATAGAGCAGTGTTTAGTGTTGTTGGACATAGGGTCGCTGTGAGTCACAGGTGACTCGATGACACATAACAAAAACATAACAATCATAGTTTAAGTAAGTTTAATCTACTTTTTCCAACTCAGTTTTCCAAAGCATTGCCATTGTGGGGCTTAAAAGGTGCCAGTGAAATTTGTGAAATCATTTTCTTTCCTTGTTGTCCTTTGTGCTGTAGAGCTAAGAGCCCTGGGAATTGAGACTACCACAAGCTCCTAAGATAAAAGCAGGAGATTTTTTTTTTAAAAAAAAAGGTATAAATTACTAAAACATAAATGATCTGCAAAATTTCCTCAAAAATAGAGTTATCAAAAAAAAAATAGAGTTATCATTTTATCTGCATGTGCAAGAGGGTTCTGGTGACTTATCGTTAAGGAATTGTGCTGCCACCAAAGGCACATGGTTCAAATCCACCAGCTGCTCCACAGGAGAAGGATGGACAGTCTTCCCGTGTGATTTACTGCTTCTGAAAACCCTTTGGAGAGTCAGCTGTGAGTCATTTCTGACTTGATGGAACACAACAAGGATAGTGAAAATATTTTTTCAAGTCATTTTGTAACAAAATAAGCTATTATACTTATTGTTACAAAAATTAGACTGTTTAATAGAATTATATTAAGAATTTTAGTTGAGGTTCACGTCCTTAAACTTGGGGAAGAAATAGAAAGCACTATATGAATTTTTCAGTACACGTACTCAGACTCTTTTAAGAATCTCTTGACTCTAGAACTGTTTAATTTTATATTAACTATAATCTTGTGTGTTCTTTTCTGTTTTCTACAACTTCCTTTCTTACCATGTGTTAACTTTACATGCCATCCAGCATGCTCAATTCTTTATAAATATTTAGCACTTGATCCTTACAACAGCCAAATCAATTTGGCAGTACTTTTACCCACATTTGTGAAATAATCCTTTGTTCATTACATTCTCTCATCATTAGTTTGTGCTTGAGTCTCTATGTATGTATGTATATATTCATTTCCCTTCTAGGAAACAAAAACAGTGTGAAAATTGATAAACAACTAAATTTCTTAAAGAGCAGAGTCAAAATAGCAGTGATCCATTAAAAAAATGGTGGTCTCCATGGTCCTGGCAGTAATCAGTCTCCCACAACAGACTCTTGAAAGACTTATAGCTCCTCTTTTTACCATTGTAGTAAGCATTTTAAAAGTTAGAAAACTGGTAATTGGAGGTGAACTAAGTTGTCCATAAACACTAGTTTTAAGTAATGGAGACAGACAAGACTAAAGTCAGGATCTGTCAGAATTTAATAACCTGTGCCTTTGGCTATTGCTAGGAAAGGCTATTCCTTTGAGGGGACATCATGCTTGGAAAGGTAGAGGTTTGGTGAAAGAGGATGACCTTCAAAGAGATAGATTGGCATAGTGACTGCAGCAGTGGGCTCTAATGTGTCAGAGATATGAGGATGGCTCGGGATAGGACAAAGTTCAGACCTATTGTTACAGTGGGTCACTATAAGGCATAAATTGTTCCTTTCCTGTGTTCTTTGGGGGTTTTTTTGTTATTTACTAATTTTTTTAAAAAAAATTTATTATAAATTTCAATGACCATTTACAGAGGCTTTGGATTTCCCTTCATTCATTATTGCACTTTTCTCCCCTTCCTACCCTCCCCCTGCCCCAGTACACTACCCTCTTGGAAAAGTAAAAGAAAAATTCTTTCATTGTTTTACAAACCCTCCCCCCAGGTCCACTCCACTATGCAGCCTTCACTCTGGTCTTCTGTCATGACAAAAATACCTAATTACATATCCCTTTTAAACAGTTTTCTCCCTCATCTGTTTCAATGCAGTATACATTATTAAACCCATCTTTCTCAGTCTTCCCCCCAACCCTGAGTCATGTTTTACAACAATGGCACTATGCAGTATTTTTCCCTTTGTGACTTTGAGATACTTCACTCAGCATAATGTTCTCCAGGGTCTCCCATTTTGAATAATAATGCATGAGTTCCTTGTTTTTCAATGCAGTGTAGTATCCCATTGTGTGACTATACAAGAGCTTCTCTATCCATTCATTTGTTGATAGGCACTTAGGTTGTTTCCAACTCCTTGCTATTGTGAACAAAGCCACGATAAACATGGGTGTGCATATGTCTGCCTGGGTATCAGTTATGGTCTCTTTGGGGTATATTCCCAGTAGTGGAATTGCTGGGTCAAATGGTATCTCTATTTGCAACTTTATGAGAAAGCGCCATACCGCCTTCCACAGTGGTTACACCATTTTACACTCCCACCAACAGTGAATAAGGGTTCTAGTCTCTCCACAACCTCACCAGCATTTGTTGCTTGCTGTTCAGTTAAATTTTGCTATTCTGACTGGGGTGAGATGATATCTCATAGTTGTTTTGCTCTCCTGTGTTATTATATTTACTGCACCAAAATTGTTGTTTTTGTTAGTGTTTGCTTTAGAATAGTTTTAGTAAATACTGATATATCATTTGAATGAATTAATGCAGTATATTACATCTATAATCAGTGCACATGCTGGTGCAAAATGTGATAGTTAATAATTTCCCCTCTTCACACCATTATTCTTGTACTCTGTAAACAAGATCATTTAAATTCTTTTTACTTAATATATTGAAATAGAATCACTATAAATTTTTTTTGCTTGGGAAAATCTTCTTGCTTATTTGTTTTATGAACTTGTTCTTATAAATAAAAACCTTTTTAAAATTAATTTTAATGGAAGTTTACAGAGACTGTGTATTTCCATCCATTCATTTTTACACACTTTCCTCCCTGCCCACCCCTCCCCCACGTTCGCTTTTCTCTTTGAAAAGTAAAAGAAAAATTCTTCCATTGTTAGACAATCCCCTTCCTCCCCAGTCTACTCCACTGTGCAGCTTTCATTCTGGACTCTTGTCTTGCCAATAATACCTAATCATCTATCTTTTTTAAACAGTTACCTCTCTCCCTCATTTGTTCCAATACAGTATACATTATTTGTCCCCTCTTATCTTAGTTTCCTCCCAACCCCAATGTCAGTCCAGCTTTACGACAGTGGCTTTATGTAGTATTTATCCTTTTGTGACTGAGATATTTCACTAAGCATAACATAACATCTGCCAGGGTCACCAATTTTGTATAATTCATGAGTTCCTTGTTTTTTAATACATCATAGTATTCCATTGTGTGAATATACCACAGCTTCTCTATCCGTTTGTTTGTTGATGGGCACTTGGGTTGTTTCCAACTCTTTGCTATTGTGAATAAAAGTAAACATAGGTATGCATAAATAAAAACTTTTAAAAATATCTAGTCAGCCATTTTCTAATAACGAAACTTACTTGTTTTTTAGACTGTTATCTCAATGTATGGAGTATTTTGATCTGAGGTGCCAATTGTTGGATGACCTGACAAGTAAGTAGTTGTCTGATTTTAATTTGTATGTGTAGAGTAGAGGGAACAGAAGGGAACACCAATCAGACAAACCTAAATTTGACTAGCTTGTATAACTCAGGTATAAATAAGATTGTAATTATTATTTAAAGTTGAATATTATTTCCTTGGAAATGGTGTGAGCTCTTCCTCTGTTTTATACCCAATCATTTATGTGTTTGAGATGATTTGTGATTTCTAAAAATTGCCCAGCAGCTTATATTTTAATTGCATTGATGTATAACTATTAGGAATGATCTGTCTCTGTAGTATACCACTTCCAACAACTTAGAGGTTAATTATTGAGGAGGTTTATATTTTGGGGCATGTTGATAATGAAGCTAGTTATTTCATGTTAAGCGATTTAAATATTATAGGTAGTGCCATTAGGGTATTTGGATTTTATCAGGGCTTCTCACCAGTTCTTCCTTGTTCAGTCATGAATCATGACCAAGTATACTGGTATGACAAGTGGACCAGGGAAATAGGGGCCATTGCCCTGCTAGGAACTTAATCTCCCTTCGAGAAAACAAGAACAGTGTGCACCTTGATAAGCAACTAAATCTCTTAAACAGCGGAGTCAAAAATAACAGTGATCCAATCAAAGATGGTGCCTCTACAGTCTGGGCAGTAATCAGTTTCCCACATCAGACTTCTGCAGGTCTTACATCTTCTCTTCCAAACCTCCCATTCCACAGCTTCATCTCCCAATTCCTCTTCTTTAAATTCTTCTTCTGCTGTACTTGTCTTTTACAAATTTGGGTCTGTTCAGATTTCACAGCATCCACCGTGACTGAACTGGTTCAAATCAATTTGTACCCCTGAATCTTAATCATATGAATTTACCCTGAAATAATGCAACTTAATCTTCAAATGCGCATTGTTCAAATCAAAAGTTGCTTGTTTATTCTCCACCCTCCTATACAAAGGATTTGCTTCTACTTGCAGGAAATAAATAAAATCAAGATTAACAAAAATGTTAATTGAGAAAAGCCTGTCAAAGCCAGAAGGGAAAAAAAATATACTTTGCACATGTACCAACTATAAAGGCCCAGGTAGAATTTAGTTGTGATATTCCTGAAGTCAAAAGTGCAAAAGGAAACAGACTATGTTTAGTTGTTCTCAGTATTGATCTATGGAATGTTTTTTGTTGGTTTTTTTTTGTTTGTTTGTTTGTTTTTTTCGTTTTTTTAAGTGGTATACTTTATTGCCAGCTGTAAAGCTACAAAGATTGTATATTCCCTTTTATGAACTAAAATAGCAGTATAGGTAAGAATTTCTAAACATAGAAAACTCTTATCAGTGACATTGTATATGCTACATGTTCACAGTGAAAGAGCATCCTATCTAAAGCTTTTAACATGGAATTGTGAAAAACATCATATATATAGACTGAACTGATGACACCCATACACACAGAATTGGGGTTCATCTATAGTATTAGTATTCATATTTTTTGGGTTGGGTGCTTTTTCTTTTAATTTTGTTGTGATTTTAACAAATGTTTACAGAAAAATTGGATTTTCATTCACTCATTTTTGGACATTTTCCTCCATCAAAATGATTTCTTAAATGATCCGTTTAAGTGCTATTCCCTAGCACTTAAGTCCAAACAAAATTTCATGTGAAGGTCTTCCTGTGATGAATGCTTAAAGACGCAGGGGCTCGAGAGAAGTGCAGCAATGGATGACTGGAAATCCAAAATCTCTGTAAATGCTCATTAAAATTATTTAAAAAAAAAAAGACGCAGGGGCTCATGATCCCAAAGGCAAATACCATCACTTTCTGAAGTGTCTCTAAGTAAAAACTGAGGACACCGTGGTCAAGCTTCTGAAATTGGATTTGTTGGAAACTTAGATGATACAGTCAGTCTGAGTCTTTGTTGAGTGATAAGATCTTTTGTGTCTAGAGAAATGAATGGACTGCATGTCTGTCTCTGAGTCTCCCCTCAGTACCATGTTTTCAACCAGACTTTCAAGAGAAGTTAAAGACAGATGCCATCAAGGCTTTTCTCTCTGTTTTGGGCTTACAGCGAGAGTTCTCCTTTGCTTATTGAGAACCGAAATAAATGCTATTTTAGAATGAACAGATTGTTAGTGTAGGACTTGTGTTGAGGGATCCAGATCTGATCCCATTTCGGGGTATGTCAGTAAGGAAACAGCAAGTAAGTGGTAGAGACAGCATGCCAGTCCAGCTCTGGTCAACCCCAGAATAGCCCCTGTACCTTACAGTGCAAGGACCTTGCTTGTTTGTCACTATGTTGTAGTGTACTAGCATCATGTACATCACCACCCTCCTTTTCTCTCCCGTCCCCAGGCCAATATAAGCTTTTGCTTTAAATCTTTCTTTGAAAGGGAAAGAAAAATATTTAATACAGAAAAAAATCAGAATAGCTTTTAGGTGCCTAGGGTTTGCTTATTGTCCAGAAATCTGGATTCTGGTGGCTTCCCTGTTGATTTTGTCCTTTGCAGAACCCTACACTCCCTTAGCTTGAGTAACACTGCTGCAGTGGGGGGACTCCTTGTATCCCAATATCACTTCATTCTCCAGAAAGTTTGTCCCATCAGTCAGCTGCTAACACCCACCAAACTAGGAGCATCCCAGGCTCAGTTTTCTCTTCCATCTTATACCCCCACCATACAGCACATGCCCAGCTCAGTAGAGGCACTAATAAATGTTTGGTTTGTGAAGAAAGACTGACTATGTAAAAGCTTTCATAGCCCTTGAAGGCTATAATTCCAACCTGCTGTTTATTAATAACATTTTTTTTTAGGTCTATAACATGAAAGGATTTGACTGTACTTAAATTAAGTCAGGATTTTTACTTCATAAAGGAAAATCCTCCTTTGTTTGTTTGTAATAAATGTGTGTCTCCCTGTCCTTCTTAGCTTCCGAAATGGAACAGTTAAGAATCAGCCCAGCCACCATGCTGGAAGATGAGATTACTTGGCTGGATAACTTTGAACCGAATCGCACAGCTGAATGTGAGACCAGTGAAGCAGACAACATCTTATTAGCTGGACACTTGCGACTCATTAAGACCCTTCTTTCACTCTGTGGAGCAGAAAAGGAAATGCTTGGTAATTACTGCTTCATCTGCATCTTACCATGTGGCAGTAGACCCCAGTTCTCTGTTACTGCCCAGTTGTGGGCAATTGGAAAAGAAGATAGATGTTAAGTGTTTGACAGAAAAGTGACCCTTCGAACAGTAGTAAACTACCTAGAATTTTAGTGGCTAACAAATTCAAAGTGCATTTTACCTTTGTCACTAGAATCACCGAGAAAATTTTACAGTGTTCAAAGTGATTGGATATCTTAACTTTATACCACTCAGTCAAACTGATATTGAAAGTAGGTTTTAGATTGGGGACTTGTTTTGTTTTGGGATTTTTTTGCTTGTTTGAAGTTTATCTGTCATGTGCTTTATAATATATAGTCTGTTGTGTATCATTTCTTTTGAATGATGTTTCTCTTTTGGGGATGCAGTCCCTAGCTGTCACCCCAGATAAAGGGGTACATGTACAGTCCATAAAATTTTATTTACTATTATAAATTATATTTCGTAAATGAAGGAGATGCATAGAAAAGAGAAATTCTCACCATTTTAATCTAGAGTCAGCAGGTTTCAAAAACTCTAATTATTCATTCGAACCATTCTGCTTTTTGTGCCCTTTGCACTTACGGAAACTTGACTCTTCACTAAACTGTAAGCTTTCATATGAAGGAGGGCACTCTTACTGTGGGGCTTACATCCTGACATCTTGTCCCGTCCCACCGATCCTTGTGCCACACAGAGCCTTGAGATTATGTATGTTGTTATGTGCTGTCAAGTCACCTGCGACCCTCTGTACAGCAGCTCTGAAGCCTACCCTGTCCCGAGCCAGTCTCACTGATTCCAACACAACTAACCCCATTTTCCCAGTTACTGTATCATTCCACCTCATCTGGGATCCTCCTCTCTTGAGATTGTGTGTGTGTGTGTGTGTGTGTGTACACACACACACACAAACTCAAAAAAATAAATCCTAAAGTAAATTAAATGCCTTCTTGGGTGCCTTTACTGTTCTGATAAGAAAGTTCAAGAGTTGAGTTAGAATACAAGTGTGCATCCTCAACCTGAATATTCTTCTCTATTGCAGGCTCATCACTCATTAAACCATTGTTAGATGACTTCCTTTTCCGAGCTTCTAGAATTATTTTAAATAGTCACTCTCCAGCTGGCAGTGCCGCCATCAGTCAACAGGACTTTCATCCAAAGTATGGAAAATGCACGTTGTGTTCAGTTTTGGTAAAAATTCTAATTTGAAACTTTAGTTCTAAAAGATTTTTTCAGCTTTAAGAGTTTATCTTCCAACGTGTGTGTGCACGCACATGTATGCATATGTATTTTCATGTGTGTGGCACGTGCACATGTGTTATATTAACCACTGTGTAAAGAAATGCATGTAAACAGACTTAGCAAATAAAGCCTGCTGCCAGCTCACAGGAAATGCTGAGCAAGTCTGTCAGTACAGTTACCATCAATAGTGGGAGAATAAATAATAACATGTCTTAACTTGATCGATAGAAAAGCTCCTAGGAGAAACCAAGTTGGTATAAATTACATATAAAATGTAAGTGATTAACTCTGAGTAAAGTGGCAGAGCTTTTTCAGTGAGAAAAACTACAAGCGCGTTAGGACATGAACCTTATTTTTTACTTAGAGTCATTATGCCCAGTAACTGAACCGGCTTAGTGGTTTATTGCTGTGAGAGTTATAGACTCAAATTTTCTATTTCTTCGGGTAAAAATTTGAAAACTTACATTACAACTTTGACCCTGTTTGGCTATCATAGTATTGAAGATGGGATGAGGCAGCAGCTACATGCTGCCACGTGCTGCACTCGAATCTAGCTTCCCTTGTTCTTCACCTGTGGGGGAGGGGAGTATGGAGAAGTGAGGAAGACCGCTGAAGCCGAAACTTCGGTGTTTAGCCAATGGAAAAACCTTCTGACAGAGTTGTAGTGGTAATTTGAATGGGCAAGGCATAAATAAGTAACAGTTTATGATATCTTAAGAGATCACTTAACATCCACAAATATTTCTAGATAGTTTTTACTGTGTACTATTGAGTTAAAACTGATCCATAGCAGACCCTTCTGCAAGTTTTCAGAGGCAGTTAATCACTTGTGAGGAGATTGCCCATCTTTCTCCTACAAAGTAGCTGGTGGATTTGAGCTGTGTACCTTCTGATTGCAGCACAGCTTCTTAACTCTAGGCCACCAGAACTCCCTATATTTCTATATCTAGAAGTTACTTATTAGCAATATTTGTCTTCATCGCTAAACCTGCTGTTAGAATTTGTTAGAATTTCTCAAGTGTCAATTCTCATGGTTTATCCTCTATTTCTACTAGTCCACTACTTAAAGAATATTCTGCAGTCATTAGTGGAAGAATTTTGCATTTTCACCATCAGATCAAAAAGTTTTTTCAGTCCTAAATCATAGTTAACCTTCCTATCGCAGTGATTTACTCATGTGAAGTACTCAATAGTCTTCCTATTAGATTTTTAGATTTCTGAAATCAGGGCTGTTTTAACTCTGTTTGATGGAGTACAGCTCATGTACTTTTTTTTTATGCTAATGAATCATTTAAGTAGATGGTTCATTGTTGAACTGAATTTGTGTCTTTTTTGTTCTCAAATGTATTTGTGTCTTTTGTTCTCAGATGCAGTACAGTGAATAGCCGATTGGCAGCCTATGAAGTCCTTGTAATGTTGGCTGATAGCTCACCTTCAAATCTTCAAATCATCACAAAAGAACTACTTTCTATGCATCATCAGCCTGACCCTGCCCTCACCAAGGAGTTTGATGTAAGTTTTCCAGACAGTGCATTTACTTTTTTGTGATGACCTCTTAAACATAAAATTTTAAAACTATGCTTACACTATTCTAACTACAAAGAAAGTCTTTATTATTCTGAATAGGTTATTATTTCCTTTTGCTCAAATCACCTACAAACTATAATGTATTATACTAACATTATAATGTATTATACTAACAAACTGGTATATTACTAAATGGTACTTTTTTTAATCAAAGAGAAAGGGTCATTTTCAATTTGGTTAATAATTATACTCAGCAAAGAATATCACACCAACCTGTTTTTTTGAGATACAATACTTGACACAATCTTAAGCACTAGAGATACAAAGTCAGACCAGCAGGGCTCACACTGCAGTCTAGTCCAACAAGTTTTTTTTTCCATTTACTATGCACTATGAGAAGTCTTAAGCTTTTGAAGCTTAAAAAGGAAGCTCTGCTCTTCACCCTCAAGAAAGTCGGTGACAGAGACAATCTGAGAGCGCCAGACCTAAAGCAGGTAATATCAATTTGATGTGATAATCTTTAAGATAGAAGTGCCTCAGATGCTCTGCCAGCTCAAAGGAACACACAGACCACCACTTAACATAGCACCTTGAAGACTAGTAAGGTCATAAAAGCAAAATGGGAAGGTCATTACAGCAAGGAGAAGAATACTGGCAGAGATAAAACACTTTAATTGAAAACAGGATCTGTAAGAAGGAAGAAAATTGCAGATAGTATTGCTAGAGTACTAGATCAGGACTGGGACTATGTGAGGCTGCTTTGAAAGCCACTTGGCATTTTATAAATCACAGCAAAATACAAAAATCCCTTAGCCCTTGAAGCAATTCCAACTTCTGACTACCCAACCCCAATTGGGTTTCTGAGGCTGTAAATATTTAAGAGACTACCACAACTTTTTCTCTCAAAACCTCTTGCGGATTTGAATGACTAACCTTTAACAACCCAGCATGTAATATACTACCATGGTTCCTTAAATCATAAAAAGTTAGTCTTACGTTTTTGAACCTCTGGGCCGAGGTTTATAGATCATGTACAGGGCAGGTAAGGAAGTTAGGGCAGTGCCCTAGCAAATGCCATCTGCAAGGGCTTACAGATGTGAATGCACCTACATTGAGAACTGTTAGGGTATGAAAACATTAGTTTATATGCTTATTTTATGATATGCTTTAATTGTGTATATTTATCTAATAGCCATTAAAAGGAAACCTTTTTTTCCTAGCAATCTGTGGTAATAGCACCATCACAAAGAAATACTTCAACAAACTCAAGTTCATTGCTGTCAAGTGGGAGCCAACTAATAGCTAACCAGCAGGTTTTTAGAGGCTGACATTTACACAGGAGGAGATTGCCCATTTTTCTCTCTCAAAATGACTGGTAGATTCCAGCCAACTGTTGCTGGATTCTCAGCACAAATCCTTGACCCAGTAGGCCACCAGGCCTCCCTTTCATAAATAAATACTTAGCTGTGTTTAAGCACGTAGTGAGCAAAGTTTTTCTTGTTTTATAACCTTTTTTCTTTAATTGATGCTTTGGACAACCAATAAATTTGAGTTTTAATTGGATCTTAGAAATCATCCTACTCTATTTGTCTAACTTCTATTAAAAAATACATTATTTGGGTTTCTTTGAAGTCTAAAAAGACATACAGGTTTTTACTGGTTGCTTAAGTACCTGAGTGTGAATACATGATATATCCAGGTGACATATTATTCATAGAGTGACAGAACCAAGATTCTGTTCTAATAGCATTTCAAAGTGTATTGCTACAATACTTATTTCACTTGAGATGTACCACCTTGAACATAATTGAAAAGGCCTCTTTCACAGCATTTCTTCCCAAACGAGCACTATTATTTCTAACACATCCTTAAGTGAAATACTAGAGACCTTCACTACTCTAACTGTAGTCACTAGCTCAGCCCATTGTTTGAGTCACTGTGTCAGTCCATCTTGTTGGAGGTTTTCCTCTCTTTCACTGGCCTTCTGCCTGTCCCAGCACAATGTTTTTTGCCAAGGACTAGCCCCTCCTGACCACATCCAGAAAGTATGTGAAATGAAGTTTCACCATCTTTGCCGTGAAGGAGCACTCCAATTGGATTTTCTCCAGGACAGATTTTATGTTCTTTTTATCAGTCCTTGGGATATTCACTATTTTTTTCCAACTTTTAAGGCATCAGTTCTTCAGTCTTCTTTATCCATTGCCCAGCTTTCATTTTAATAGGAAAAGATGTTGCTTTCTCAGCAAAAAAGGGAATGAATATGAGCTTTTCTTGATTATCAGGCTGGTCAGAATTCTGCATAGTAAATGCTTTCATAGAACCATATTCCTTTTCTTTAGAAAAGTTACCTCAATTTGTAATATGGTTAGTATTCTTGAATAATGTTTGTTTACCCTACTATTATTAACTCTTTCAGATCACATCTCATATACATTTCTGTTCTCTCTTAAATTGCCCAGAATAGTACTTTAGTAAATATTTATTGAATGATAATCAGGTAACTGAATGCATTACTGTATAGATAGATAAATGCCCATCTATAAAAGGACATAATGCTTTAAAGGGTGTAGGGTTAGTGAAAGAGATGAAAACCCTGAGCAAGGTGGATTAACACCGTGACTGCAGCAGTGAACTCGAGATGGTGTATCAGAGATGGTGAGAATGGGACAGGATAGGAAATTATTCAAGTCTTTGGTTCATAGGGTCACTATGAGTTGTACTGGACTCCATGGCCCCTAACAGCAACTATATACCACATACTTTACATTGTGAAATAAAAAGAAACATTGTGCTAATAATACTTTATAATTGTACTAGCATCTACAGAACAACTTCATGAGTATAGGCATTGCTTGTACCTTGGAAATAGAAGCCTGCTGTGTATACCTGTTTTTCCTTTCAGATATCCAGTCATGACAATAGTGGAGACATACTGGTGATAAGAGATGCTAATTCTCTTCACTGTTTTTCCTCCTCTCTTTCTTAGTACCTCCCCCCAGTAGACAGCAGGTCCAGCTCAGGCTTTGTGGGACTGAGGAATGGAGGCGCTACCTGCTACATGAATGCAGTTTTCCAGCAGCTGTATATGCAACCTGGTCTTCCTGAGGTGACTTCCTGCCTCTTTCCTGTTGGAAGTGATAGTAATATGTATACTGCTTGGAAATTGCTCCATGTTTATATATAGCTTTTTGTGTTTACTAAAGCTAACCATAACTAGGATTTTTCTTTTTGTAGTTTCAGAAATCAGTATAGACAACATGTTGTTCTTAGTCACTTATTTTTATCAATGTGCTGATACAGATGCTACCTACGTAACAGATGGTCTTGATCTAATGTGATAATGTGATTTTTTGAGTCCATAATTATCCCAGAGTCTATCCCTTAAAAAGTACTGACATTTTCAGTGTTTGAGAACCATTTAGAATGTGTTATCAACATTTTAGAATAATATATAGTAAATTATGATTCAGCAGTCAGCAGTTTTAAAAGTAATTCATGCTATACTTATTTCTTGTGTTAATCTTGCTTTTCCTACTTTTAATTTTTCATAATTGAAAGGAGACCCAGGGAGTTGATTTGTTCATGATTGCACCAGCTAGGAAATATTAGAGTTAAGAGAATGTTGTGGCCACATCGAAATGTATGTACAATTGTTGTTCATTACCATTGAGTCAGAACCATTTAGGTGACCCTAAAGCAAGTTTTCAAAGGATATAAATTACATGGGAGGAGAATGTCCTTCTTTCTGCTATGGAGCAGCTGTTAGATTTGAACTGTCTTTGGGTTGGCAGCTTAGCTCCTTTCCTTTAGGCCTCCAGAGCTCCCTTAGCATTTTTAAATAGCAGTGTAGTGCTTAGATGTAGGGGTGTTTGTGTGTGAGAGAGAGAGAGACAGAGTGTGAGTGCGTGTGTGTGTGTGTAGGTTTTTTTTTGTGAAGCACTTTAATATTTCTAACTTAATACATTTCATTTATTTTAGTCATTACTTTCAGTGGATGATGACACAGACAATCCAGATGATAGTGTGTTCTACCAAGTACAGTCTCTCTTTGGGCATTTGATGGAAAGCAAGCTGCAGTATTACGTACCTGAGAACTTTTGGAAGGTATTTCATCCAACAACACATGTTAAATTTAACGTTGTTATATACTTAGAGTTTAGCTGCTTTCTTTTTTTAATAATAATAATGATTTATTCTCTTTAGACTAATTTCATTGCCTATGCTAGAATTATAGCACTCATCTGTCCCCTTGCTGTACAGAGGTAACTCATGGTTACTGAACAGTGTAATACTGATGTGTCAAATGCAGTAATGGTCACCCGTGGTAGACAGTGTTTGGTGGAGCTCCCCAATTAAAGGAAGCTTGGAAGAAAGAGTGGTATCCACTTCTGAAATAGCTTGCTTCTGCAAACCCTATGAACCTGGAAAAACACTGAAAGTTATACAAGTGTTCAGGTCTTTCATTCTTAGGGTCACTATGAGTCCCTTACAATTCGATGGCACTTAACAACAACAACATACTAGAATTAGCTATACTCTTCTTAAAATTTATGCTAGGTTTCAAATTTTTAGAATATTAAAATACTGAGAATTGACTCATAATTTCTAGAATTTTCTGATTTTAATTATTTTATAGATTTTTCTTATCTCTGAAAGGTTTGTTCCAATTGTTCCTCGTAGCCTCTTCCATTTTCACTAGTGGCTTTAAAAATAGTAATTTTTGGCCTCACTTTATCTTATCTCCTAAAGGAGAGTTACCTTGTGTTTTCCACAAAAGACGGGTTGTTTAGTTTCTGAGAGACTGTTCCACGGCCTTGGATTTCACCCTTACTTTCTGTTTCATAGACTTAACTGTTTTATTACAAGGGAAACGTTTTGATGACTGAACAAAAGTTAATCTCACTTTAGCTTTCCCATCCTAATGATGAACTTAGTTTTTGAAAATTTTCATTACTTTCACCTTCCTTTTCTTCTGTATTCAGAAATTTCTGATTCTATGTTGAATTGATGTATTCTTACTACATAGATTTTCAAGATGTGGAACAAAGAACTCTATGTCCGAGAACAGCAGGATGCATATGAATTCTTTACTAGTCTTATTGATCAGATGGATGAATACCTCAAGGTAATAAAAATGTCACTTTGTCTCTAACTCCTTCAGATTACTGTTATAAACTCAGAACTCTTGGGATTTGGAATTACTGTGAATTAATCAAATTGGGAATTTTATCTAGCACTAAAACTGTAACCCATTTTTTTGGGGGGGTTGACGAGCAAGCCAATCACTTGAATTATGTATTTATTATTTATTATTTAATGTATGTATAGCTCTTGATGTTGCAAGGAGGGACAGGTCCTTGGAGAGAGACATCATGCTCGGTAGGGTGGAGGGACAGCGCAGAAGGGGAAGGCCCCCTATGAGGTGGTTTGATTCAGTAATTGGGGTAATCGGGATGGGAGTGTCAGAGACAGTGCGATTGGCACAGGACAGAGCAGAGTTTAGGACTGTTGTACATAGGGTCGCCATGAGTCGCAAGCGACTCGACGGCACATAACAACAACAGCAGCTCTTGGTAATCAATCTACATCTGTATGGTAATAATCATTCATATCTGTGTACTCTTTACTGTGCATCCATTGAAGTAACCAGGCACCAGAGGAATACAGTTGTCATTGCTCAGCTGATGGCATTGTGCTTATTAATCTTGGAATAGAGAGAATTGTGTCAAAGGGGACCGTGAAACCACAGTAAATAATTGTTAGCAGTGGTGTTTAAGCCTCTGTCCAGTAAAACCTGACAAAACAGTATTGCCCTCTGTAGTATAAGTAGCCTCCCATCATTGTCAGCATTTTCCTCTCTTCCTGTCTCTAGGCACAGTATGTAGTTTACTTCTTTCTCTGTGTGTATGATATGCATAAAAAGCAGAACATTTACTCTCAACATTTTATATTAATTCAGTGACATTAAGTACATCTTGTTGTGTAATAACCGTCACCACATTCTGGTTTTGGATTTTCCGTCACTCTTCGTTTCCCCCAAGTAGTGACTTCCAGTTACCAACCACCCCTTATTCCCAACCCTAATAACCACTAATTGGTAACCACTAATAAAGTTTGATCTCTGTATATTTGCCAAATTATGAATCTTTCATGTAAGTTACTCATTTTTTTAAAAAATAAATTCTGCATCTATATGAACAAAAGAAGAACTTCTGTGCCTGTGAGCTCAGCTGGCACAGTTCTCCGAGTGGTGATGCCAACCTAAAGGTGGCTCAGTTCAACCAGGGGCTCCCGGGGATAAAGCTAGTCAATCTCCTGTGTGAATCTGAACCTCTGAAAACCCACTGGAGGAGGATCAGCTGTGATTCAGTTCTGACTCAGTGGCAATGAATTGGGTCTGTAGCATTTCATTCCAAAGGAGCTCTGGTGGCCTAGTGGCAAGAGGCTGCACTGAAATGTCAAAGGCATGTGGTTCCAATCCACCAGCTGCTCCGTGGGAAAAGGATGGCAGCCTCCTCCCGTGTGGTTAACTGCCTCTGAAAACCCGCTGGAGAGTCAGTTATGGGTTGGTTCCAACTTGATAGTGTACAACAGCGTAGCATTCCAGTCAGCCACACAGAAAGGGAAGACACTGTAGAGTTGCTGCTACTAAGTAATGATGGTGTGGGAAGAAGTTAGAGATCATGACAAGATTTTCCTTCTCATTCACTCTGACAGACTCAGTCACTTCTACTTTTCTCATTATTTGCATTGCTCTGACAGTCTAATAATGGGATATTATTATTTCATTTCACTCTGTTGCACATTGGGCCACTGTGAGCCCATTGAACTCAGCAGCATCTAGCACCAAGAGTTCTTCTGTTCACTTCCAGATTAAGTTACCAGTGACTCCGTGTATTTTGGTGGTTGAAATAAAGCATTTGCTTGAACTTGGCCCTAGATGAAATTTTTACAAATAACCTATGAGTTCTAGAGACAACAAATAGAATTTTAACTTTTTATTTCCACAGAAAATGGGAAGAGACCAGATTTTCAAGAATACTTTCCAGGGCATCTACTCTGATCAGAAGATCTGTAAAGATTGTCCTCACAGGTATTACTAGCATAAAACAGTATGATCATCATTTTTATAATCAGTCTTCCAGGATGTTTTGAATTACTCATTTGTTGCAAGACTTGGACATATATTTCTAAATTGGTCTAAGTATTTATTGAGTTAAGTTACTTTGTTTTTAATTTATGTCCTTAAGGAAGTAACCATTGGGATTTATTACCTTAAGCTGTTTTGTGAGATCAGAGGAGATCGAGCCTGTTCAGGGTGGTATGGCCATAGACGGCCGGAGCAGTTTTGAGTTGTCGCAGGAGTTCTTCCCTCTGCATTCATTCATTTCACCAGTCAGGAATGCAGTCATACTTGGTGCTCAAGGTTGGGTATTGTGATAATGTCAAGATTTAAATCTTCATTATTGTTTTTTTCTCTTGTTTCCTAATTAGATATGAGCGTGAAGAAGCTTTCATGGCGCTCAATCTAGGAGTGACATCTTGTCAGAGTTTGGAAATTTCTTTGGATCAGTTTGTTAGAGGAGAAGTTCTAGAGGGAAGTAATGCGTATTACTGTGAAAAGTGTAAAGAGAAGGTAATACATTTGTCCTTTTTTTAAAACAAGATGAATTTGTTATTCCTGTACTTTGTCCCTTCTGATGTCATTAGAAGGTGGAATATTGCTTGTTTCTAGATAGGTGGGCCAGGCCTGTAGAAATCTTGGCATTAATTACTTTGCGGTTTTGTTTTCTTCAAGAAGATGATTGTCTTTTGCTTCTCTTTAGAGAATAACAGTGAAGAGGACCTGTATTAAGTCTCTACCTAGCGTCTTAGTAATTCACCTGATGAGATTTGGATTTGACTGGGAGAGTGGACGTTCCATTAAATATGATGAACAAATAAGGGTAATATTTTTTCCTAAAATTTATTAAAATTATTACCTGTCTCTCTTTTTTCAGTTTCTTCTCTGTGTTTTAAAATTTCACATAAAATGTGGAAAGGTATAGACTCAGAATTAAGAAAGTTACACAGCCATTTGCCTGACGCTGCTGCTGCTATTGGAAGAGGCAGATCTAAACAGTAATCCTCATGTCTGGAAGGCATCTCATTGATGGCTGTGAAGTTATACACTGGCATTAATGCCAAGACCAGACACTTCTTAAGGGAGTTTGGATACTTTTCTGGATTTGTGAGGCGTTCCAAGATTTTATAGGTGAAATGGCTTAAGTTAGGAAAACATACCTGATTTCAGAGGAAAATTCTGTACATGTTATTAATCAAAATTAATGTGGTCCTTTTCTTTTTGAAATAGTTTCCCTGGATGCTAAACATGGAGCCTTACACAGTTTCAGGAATGGCTCGCCAAGATTCATCTTCTGAAGTTGGTGAAAATGGACGAGGTTTAGATCAGGGAGGTGGAGGATCCCCACGGAAAAAAGTGGCCCTCACAGAGAACTATGAGCTTGTTGGTGTCATTGTGCACAGTGGACAGGCACACGCGGGACACTACTACTCCTTCATTAAGGACAGGCGGTAAGGGCTTCTTGTGGCTCTGTTCCTCTGCCCACCCGTGATCTCTGCTCTCTGCTCCTCCCGTCCTTAGTTCCTTAGTCTGTCTCTACATGGCACTCCATGTCCGTCCTCCCACACATAACCATTATGTGCAAAGATGTTTTCTCATTGTTCTTTGATCTTCATTTTGAATTCTCAAAGTTTGTGTAACATTTTGACTGAATATAACTTTGTGTAACTTTTAATTTGAAATGTTATTTTAGAAATTTCGAATAACTGTTGCTTCATGTGCTTAGGTGTTTTCAAAATGGTAGTCACCTATTTTATTTGTAAACAGTGCAAAGAGATAGTGCTCTGGATGGGAAGTTATGGTTTTTAACCTTACGAAGTTTTTCTTTTCTCTGGATTCTAGAGGGTGTGGAAAAGGAAAGTGGTATAAATTTAATGACACAGTTATAGAAGAGTTTGACCTAAATGATGAAACCTTGGAGTATGAATGCTTTGGTGGAGAATACAGACCAAAAGTTTATGATCAAAGTAAGCATTTTCAAATTGTTATTTTTATTCATTTCTTTTCATTCTTATCCTCTTTCCATTGTCTCACATACTTTGGGCATGTTGGTAGGAGGGGCTGTCAGTAAGCCAGTAAGTAAGTATTCATTAAAATACTTGACCACCAGAACTCCTTTATCTATAAATACAGCCTGCTTTATTCTTTTCTATAATAGCTGCTCTAGCTATTGTGAAAGAACTTTCTTTGATACCCAGAGTTAAATATTCAAACAAAAAATGTAGTGATCCTTCCCAAAAATCTTAGGGAAAAGAAAGTAGAATGAGAAAAAAAAACTAATAAATCAAGACTTCCCATTGAAATAGTTTCAGAAGAAGTAATTATTTACGCACTAAAACCTTCAAATTAATTTTCATCTGTTTAAGGTATGATGAATTAAAGAAAATAATTCTGAATGATTAAATTTTTGAAACAATATTTATTTTAAAATCAAAATAATGCAATCTTCTCTTCACAACTTCCAGCCCTGGGAAGTATGAGGGAAAAGTGTTTCACAAAATCTAGTCCAAATTTGCTATTCAAAAATTACCACTCTGAAGATCTTAGCCTTTCTGAAACCAGCCTAAGTATGATAGTTCTGGCCTGGTTTTCAAAATTCCTCGGGAGCTCTGATGGCATAATTGCTGGCAGTTGTGCTTTGAACCCACAGGCAGACGTGTGTGATGGTTCTACTCCACCAGGGGCTCCCAAGGGAGAAGGGTGGATGATAACCTGCTGTGCGATTTACCCTCCTGCTGGAGGGTCAGCTAGGGTTGGGTTTCTGCTGTGAGTTGGTTTCAGTTTAGTAGCAGTGAGTTGAGTTATGGGACATTTCTGAATTTCAATAGTGTACTCATTATATTACATTGTGATACCATGTCAGGTGATGATATATCTAATAGTAGTAACCTTTACTGTAAGGGTCCAAATTTACCAAGAAAAGTTTGGCCAGTTAATATAGAAATGGTTTATAAAGCCAATCATAATCCCATCTTTTCAAATTGTACTTATATTTTGCTTAAATTCTGGCATGCTGGGAATATTTGCTTTCTTTCCCTCCGTCCATCACTGTACTATCCCTTCACTCTCTGCTCCTCCCCTATCACCGTCCTTCTTTCTCTTAAGGAGCAGCTAGGGGATTTGATAAGCATGTCTGTGGGTTTGCCATGTGACTCCTTACTACTAGTTCATCAGAGTCAAAAAGCCATAAGTTTTACAAATTTAGTTAGTAGTTTCTTTCTTTCTTTTTTTTTTTAGTTAGTAGTTTCTTAATCATTTAATGGGCCCTTAGTTTTAGATTATCAGAAAAAAAAATACCAACAAGATCCCAAAAGCCTTCTTTACTCACAAAGACTTTCTTCTTGATGTCTTGTTGTAAAGCAAATCCATACACTGATGTCCGCCGAAGATACTGGAATGCTTACATGCTCTTCTATCAACGGGTGTCTGATCAGAACTCCCCAGTGTTGCCAAAGAAAAGTCGAGTCAGCGTTGTGAGGCAGGAAGCCGAGGATCTATCTCTGTAAGTTTCTCTTATGTAGTCTGCAGTGTGATTTCAAATGGTAATCTCAAAGTGCTTGAGAATTGACCTTGTATGAAGTAAAGGTAATCAGGGAGAAAGTCTAAAAAGAAAATAAGTATATCCCCCTTGCCCCCCGTTATTGCTATTATTGCTGTTATTACTGCTTAGTCTTTGTTTCCCTGACAAGTTGTTTTGTATTTAGAAAGCTGTATCTCTAACTTTGAGGGTCTTTTTTCCTTCCCATCTGGAACTGAGATTTTTTTTTTTAAATCTTAGCAGTGTTTATTGAATGTCTTTATGCTCAAAATAATACTACTATATCAGCATGATCAGAAAGTTGTCTTGTTTTTAAACACCTTGTTGTTCCTGTCTTTACTTTATCAAGAAAGCATACCATTTCTTTCTAAGGCCTGTTGTTATTGTTGTTTAATGCCGTCGAGTCGTAGACGACTCATAGCGACCCTATGAACGAACAGCCTGAGCACTGTTCGTACATAGAGTTTCCAGAGGCAAGCCATTTTGGAAGTGGATGCCGCTCCTGCTAGTACTCTTTATATTTTGGCAAGTTTTAGCAACTACAGAAAATAATAACTACTTTATCCTATACAAACAGCATTCTGATTCTGCTCTCAGGTCAGCTCCATCTTCACCAGAAATTTCACCTCAGTCATCTCCTCGGCCCCATAGGCCTAACAATGACCGGCTCTCTATTCTAACCAAGTTGGTTAAAAAAGGAGAGAAAAAAGGACTTTTTGTGGAGAAAATGCCTGTTAGAATATACCAGGTAAGGATCATGTGTAAGAAAATCCAAGGAGTTAATTCATATATGTAGTAAAACTCACTCCATAGATCCAGAAATACTGTTGACTTCTTGTGAATTTAGTTGTACCCTTAGTGCTCCATCATTTTATTCCCTTTGTTTTGCACTTGTTACATATTAGGTTCCAGAGTAGCTGTTGTCTTAGAATCTACTGCTGCTGTAACAGAAATACAAATGAATAAATTCAGCAAATTTCTCACCATTCAGGAATCTGTTGTTATGTGCCATCAAATTGCATGTGACCCTATGTACTATTGTACAGCCCTGAACTCTGCTCTATCCTGTGCCAACCTTATTATCTCTGACATACCTTCCCCAGTTACCCCAGTCACTGATTCAATCCATCTCCTCAAGGGTCTTTCTCTCTTGCACCATCCCTCTACCTTCTCAAGCGTGATGTCCCTCTCTAAGGCCTGGTCCCTCCTTGCAACATATCCAGAGGATCTCAGATGAACCATCAGCCTCCAAGAAGCATCCTGGTTTCACCCTCTCTAGGTCGAATCTGTTTGTTCTCCTGGGAGTCCATGGTGTATTCAGTATTCTTCTTTAGCTCCACAGCTGAAAGACTTGGACATCAGGAGGCTAGACATCAGAATTCAGAACACCATTTCTTGGGGAACACTTTATCCATGTGTTAGCTCACAATTTTAGAGGAAAGTCCCTGTCTCCTTCCATCATCTGTGGGCCCAGGATCTCTTAGAAATCTCTATGTTTCTTGGTATCAGTCTTCCTCTGGGGGGCTAAGAAGGAGGGTCTTGGTGCAGGAGTCGGGTCCACAGCTTTTCATTCTTGGTAGTTCTGAAGTCTCTGTCTCTGATCACTGGTTTAACCTCTTTTAAATCTTGTTATTGACTTAAGATACAACCAAATCCTATAGATTAAATCCTTCCTCATTAACATTGTGTGCCTTTGAGTCAGAACCAACTCATAGCTGACCCTCCAGCAGGTTTTCTGAGACAGTAAATCACATAGAAGGAGATTACCCATCATTCTCCCATGGAGCAACTGGTAGATTAAAACTACATGTCTTTAGATACTCTGCTGAAGAAGGGGGACAATCACCTCCTATACCAGTTAGATCTGATTTGATGGTTGTTGTTATTGTTGCTGAGTGTAGTTGAGTCATAGGTGACTCATAGGGACCGAACAAAAGACCTGGACACTTGTATAACTCTCGTCCTTTCTCCAGGTTCATAGGGTTTCTGGAGGCAAGCTGTTTCGGAAGTGGATGCCACTCCTGCTTCCAAGCTTGTTTTAATCAGGGAGCTCCACCAAATACTGTCCACCATCCCTCCAATCAGTGATTTGATGGTACACACACACACAAAAAATGAAGATTTTAAAAAGGGAGAAAAAAGATGAACTGTCTGTTCCAGGCATTTTCAGCAACTATGTGCAGAAATAGAAAGGCTCAGAATTGTGGCTAAATACAATAAATTTGAGACCTCGGGGGTTCAAAAAAACCCCAAAACTACATGCCTTTGTGATTGCAGCACAGCTTCTTAACCACAAGTCACCAGAGTGCTCTCATTAACATCATAGAAGTTAGGATTTACAACATAGAGGATAATTGTATCAGATCAAAAAGTGGAGAACTAGTATATAATATTGAGGATTGTATCCTAGCCAAGTTGACATGTATTTTGGGGAAATAATGTGTTCAATCCATGACAGCTGTCCAGTTATGCCACTGAGTATTATGAACACACAGCATTGACCAGCACTACCACTTCTGTGTGATTGTTATAGGTAAGTGGATCAAGAGAATGGGTGAATAGTAAAGAAATATATTCTGTGTTAATTTATTTCATCTGATGTACAAAATAAGTGTCATAACCTTAGGCAGTGGGTTTTGATACTATGACAATAAAAATTCTATATATGGAATATTTACTCTGTACTGCATGCTTTAAACAGCATGCTTGTATAGTTGTTGTTGTTGTTGTTGTTGTTGTTGTTGTTGTTAAGTGCTGTATAGTTGACTGTGACTCATAGCAACCCTGTGAACAGTGGATCTGAAACCTGCCTTATCCTATGCCATCGTCATTATATCTGACACACTCAAACTCTCCATTACAGTCACTGTGTCAGTATATCTCATTGAGAGTCTTCCCTCCTTCACTGACCCTTCAGGTTTCCAAGCATGATGTCCTTTTCCATACAATAGTAGACCTTCCTAACAGTTATGTCCAAAGTATGTGAGATGAAGTTTCACTGTCCTTGCCCCAAGAAGCACCTTGGCTGTGCCTTTTCCAAGACATACTTGTTTGTCCTTTTGGCACTCCATGAAATATTCAGCATTCTTCTACAGCACCACAACTCAAAGGCATCAATTCTTCCATCATCCTTATTCACTGTCCAACTGTCAGATGCATGACAAGAGATTGTGGTTTTTGTCAGGTACACCTTAGACTTCAAACTGATTTTACTGCTTCTGAAAACCCACTGGAGGGGTCAGCTGTGAGTTGACTCCAACTTGATGATATAAAACGACTTGTAGAGTAGGAAGATTTATTATCTTTGTTGACATGGAAAAACTTAAGTCTCAAAAATGACTGCTGGTGTCACAGACCCAGAATTTAAATTCAGAGCTATCAGACTACTTAATCCAGGCTTTGAACACAAATCAAAAGCTGGGTGGTGTGAAATGGCCTTTAACAAAGATAGCCAGAACAAGAGAATTTTAAAAAAGGATGGAGTCTTTTATTAGAGAAAATTAAGCTGCCCAGTATAGGGAGCGCATGAATGTTTATGCTTCCCAATTTTGAGTCCTTTCTCACTCAGAATAGCAGATAAGAATTCGTAATTCGTATTTCTTTTCTTTTGAAGAATTCCCCAAAGGAATTGTTTTAATGAGTTACTCACTATTTAAAAACAATCTCTTATGTTCAAAATTGGAGTTTCTCTGTTTGCCTACTGGCGATGAATTGTGTTGCCAATCCAAAGGCACATGATTCAGCTCCACCAGCTGTTCTGCGGGAAGAAGGTGGGCATTCTTCTCCCATGCAGTTTAAAACCCTTGAAAACCCTACTGGTGGGTCAGCTATGAGTCAATTTTAACTTAAAGCACTTGACAACAACATGTTGAAAGTTCTTTTTCTACTTCCTCTTTTTAAAATTCAAAACATCTGCATAGGGAATTGTAGACTTTAAAGTTTTGTACTTAACACATCACTAGAAATGTCCTCAAAATATTAATTCTTTACTATTTCTTGAAAATAATTACTGATTTTCTTTTGCAGATGGTGAGAGATGAAAACCTCAAATTTATGAAGAATAGAGATGTGTACAGTAGTGACTATTTCAGTTTTGTTTTGTCTCTAGCTTCATTGAATGCTGTAAGTAGGTAGTTGGCTCATTACTAAAGACATAAGGGATTACATCTATGTAGCTTTTCATTAAAATGGCAACACATTTTCACTCTTAGTTATTGTTACTCTGCTTAGTTAAAGAAATATTCTCAAATGTGTTGCTTTTTGAACAATAATAAAATATTAGTAGTGTTCTAGTGTGAAATATAGATGGTGGTTGAGTGTGGATTTCCATTTGCTGCTTTTTCTATGTATATTTGATAGGATTTACACCACAGACCCCCAAGGAGCAGCCGTAATAATAAGGTGGTGTCATTCAGTACTGGGCTTGGTAGAGTTTAACTTTTCCTAATTTGAAATCTGATAGAACCAAACTCAAGATATAACTGTCAAGTATTTGTTCCTAAAGGACCAGCATTGTTGATGGTTGCAAATAAGGAAAAAGGCTTTTATCTCTTGGTAGCTAACTCACCATCCTATGGTCTCAAAGCTGTGTTCTAAGAGGACTTCATAAAATAAATGAAGAGGATGGCATTTCTTAACATTTTTTTAAAACTTAAAAGGCATAGTTTCTATAATGAATTGGCTAGAATTTCCTTAGTATCAACTTTATCATATGTCATTATTTAATTCATAACAAAGTATAATAACCTTTAAAACTTATATGACAGAATATTCTAACTTTGTTTTCCTCTCTCTTAGACTAAATTAAAGCATCCTTATTATCCTTGCATGGCAAAGGTGAGCTTACAGCTTGCCATCCAATTCCTTTTTCAGACTTACCTACGGACAAAGAAAAAACTCAGGTGAGAGGTGATATTTTTTCCTCCTTTACTCAAAAAATCATAGATTAGTTTAAAATTTCTTAAATTTATTTCTTATTTAAAAACATTGGGAAGACACCATGCACCTAATAGGCTCAGTCAGTTGACACAGAGTGTCTGTCATTAAAGAAGTTGTAATCTAAGAAAGAGCTGACCATTGGAATCCCTGTGAATGATAGACTTTCAGTCTGCAACCAGTTAGACTCAGAGCTAGGAAGCATTTCATTCCATTATGATTAGAGTCACCAGGAGTCAGGGGCAGGCCTGATGGCAGCTGACAGCAGCAGCCTGTGGTGCAGGCATAAGTGCTGTGGTGTTTGGAGGAGTGGGCAAAGTCATGTCTAGGTACAGGGATGAGAGTAGGGATTAAGTGTGGTGTTCTCTGAGGGTTTTCAAAAGCATAGATAGGAAACCACAGAGGACTCATTGAAGGTAGAAAGGAAAACGTGAGTAACAGACAAGACTTGCCCAAGGAGCTGTCGATGACTGTTTTAGTATTTACGGGCAAGGAGTTCCACTATAGTAGCAATGTAAATACTGAGTTTGGATGAAATCATTGAGCACTAGGGTAGGGAGCAGGACTTTATACAGAGGAGATCATGGAACAGTTTTCAACAAGGAGGCAATCTATTCATAGCAGTACTTTAGAAACTAGATCTCTATTGTGTCTTATTCAGCATTAGTTTTTATCCTTAGGATCCATCCTGTAGGATGGGATACATTATAGGATCTGGTAAACAGTTTTGTGAGTTAATGAGTAAAACATGATGAGTAGTTGAGTAATGACTTTTAAGTGTCTGCAGTAAAGAGAGAATCAGGATGAGGAGATTACTTTGAAGTAGAACACCTCTGAAGTACTTAGTCTTCTATCACTGGCCAGTGCAGTGAGCTTGTCCAGATGTGGAAAGGTTTTTGGAAAACTCTTCTGTCAAGAAAGTCTTAAGAAGAAAACAAATTTGTTGTTGTTGTTTTTTATTACCATCAAGTCGAGCACAACTCATAGAGACCCTATGAACAAAAGACCTAAACCCTGTTCTATAACTATTGTCTCAGAGTTCATAGAGATTCTAGAAGCATGTTGTTTAGAAAGTGGAGGCTGCTTCTGCTTCCATACCTGTCTTAATCTGGAAGCTCCACCAAGCTCTGCCCACCATGGGCATCCATTATGGCATTTAGACACACCAGTGGCACAAGGTTCAGCATCACAGCAAATCCAGGTTAACTCAGTACAGCAAATTGACAGGCCAGTGCTGTACCACTTAGAAGAATGCTTCTCAAAGTACAGTAACACTAGGCCCGAGGACCACAGGCCCAAGGGCCCAACCAACTTTTAAAACTTAAGACCCTCCACCAGGTCCTGTTAAGACTCTAAACGAGGCTTAAATTAAAAAAAAACAACCCAACAGTCCACACCTGACACTCAGCCAAAACAAGAGAGCCCATCTTTCAGAGTCCAACCATATCACCCGTTAGCCTTCAAACTGGGTACCCCTGTTCCTAGCCACTGCATCTTTATGGGGAATAACTAAAGATACATTGTGATGCCAGTTTTTATTTATTGAAAAAGAATGAAATATCCTGTGTCTTTTAAAAATAAAGCATAGGGCTAAAAGAAGACATTTAATTAGTTACATTTATTTATAAAATTCCCTCCGGCTATCTACACATTGCACAGTTTCTACTTTCTGTTTACTTCTCTAGGGGTTAGGAAATAGACATGTGATGCCAGGTCATAGGTAACATAGTCTTACAACTTTTTTTCTGCCTGGATGGTTTTATTCCATAAAGTAGGCTATTAATAGTTGTGGCAATAAGATGATAATATTGATATATAGTAAGCAGTTCTGAAAGTGGCAGGTAAGTGATGCTTCATTGAGATATTCATTGGGACCATGCTCTTATCATTGTTCTGTCTTTTTTTAAAGGGTCGACACTGAAGAATGGATTGCCACTATTGAAGCATTACTTTCAAAAAGTTTCGATGCTTGTCAGTGGCTAGTTGAATATTTTATTAGTTCTGAAGGACGGGAGCTAATAAAGTAAGTGTTGAGGTCTTTTAAGGAGCTTTGTATTTTCTTCCAGTGATTTAAAGCAGAGATTTCTTGTAACCCTTTGCATTTCCACTTGGAATTATTTTTCTGATTGTTTGCAGTGGGATAATTATTCCCATCAGTGAAATAATTCATTCCCACAACATCTCTCTTGGACTAGGCTCAGTCAAGTGAGGCAGCCAGCCAAGGGCTAGTGGCAAGTTTCTCCTGAACCTTGTTAGGACTCAGGGGATGCACAAATACAAGTCCTTTCCCTCAGCGGCTCACAGTGGACACAAGGTAGAGGTGAATAACCCAGCTTTTCTACACAGTCTACAATATGGTCTGTGTTTGGATTCTGGCTAAAAAGACTTATTTTTAAAAATACACTTTTTAAAAATGAACTTTAAAAGTAGTATATTTGCCCATTATCTGTAATAAAAAAATATAATCATTTGCTTAGTCCTACTCCATTTGCTCTAAATCACATGATTGTTTAGCTCTTATTCCCAATCGTCCCTCCCAAGTCAACTTTTATCCTCAAGGTTCATCATCCATAATGTGGGGGCCCAGCAAGGGCCTTCATTTCTCAGTGCCTGTTTCCCTTTCCCTGGTGGTCTCTTCTTTCAGCTACACACTCAAAGGCAGCTGTCCCTGCCTTGACCTTGTCATCACTCATCCTTCCAGCCCAGTGGCTCTTAGCATAAATGCCGTTTACTATTTATGCAAAGCAGTATCCTAAGAAGATTTACATGTTGGATTTGGTTTGTGTATTCCTTAAGATTCTTTTAATCTCTAATAGCCCCCATTCCCTAAATCTTCTTTCCTACCACCCCCTTTTTTGATCAAACCATTTATTTTTTGTAAATATTAGTTATTTGTCCAGTAGAGCTCCCGTGTTTAGTAGGTTTGCATTCTCATGTGCCTCCTTTTGGGTATGACAGGAAACAGGTTAGCACCTTCTATGAGTATGCTTTCCAGAATTATTGAACCTGACTCTTACCAAGCTCCCAGGACTAAGTTAAAGTATTTTGTAATGCCACTTAGAGTTTTAGTGGATTTAGAACAGAGCTTTTCTCTCTGGTTTGAATTAGGTAGCTAATAAGTAGCACTATTAGGGGACTCTGGTGGCCCTAACGGTAAGAAGTTATGCTGCCAAACATAAGCCATGTGATTCAAATCCACCAGCTGCTCTGCAGGAGAAAGATGGGAGAGTCTCCTCCCATGTGATTTAAAGCCCCCGAAAACTTTCTGGAGGGGCAGCTATGAGTCAGTTCTAACTCGGTGGCAGACAGCGATTCCATGACGTGACTTCAGAAGACTTCACTTTCATCTTTGTGGTGGTAGAGAGCAGTCTTCATTAGACTTCTGTGGAAGGAGGACAACAATGCAGCTGCTCCATGCACCCCAGCAGACATAAGCAGCTGCTGCCTGTAAGGAGTTTCGCAGGACAGAGTTAATATGGGCCATAAAATTAGGTCGGGCTTAGATCTTTCCATGTGGAATAATGAGAGGTTTTGACCAAGAAATGTTAACAGTGGTAGATGCTTTTTTTTTTTTTCCACATTGCTCATTTTAATACTGCTTGTCCTGTTAAAGTGAGCAGATGAAGCGGAGACAGAAGAGCTCCGCCAACTTCTGGGTTGTCTTCCAGTTGTTAGCATCATGTAGCAGCCCCCGACAGCCAGTGCTGCTGCCTGCCCGGTTCTCCACCACAGCCCAGGGTACTGCATTTGTCAAGTGGGAACAGTAACAGAGCCTGCCTCATAGGTTGTTTTCAAGATTGAATGTAGTAATGCATATCCGGTGCTTAGAATAGTCTCTGATTCTAACATTGGACATGCTGAGTAAATGTGCACAGATGTGCTGATGATAATGATAGTAGAAGAACAGAAGAAATAAGCACCTTTTCTATAACAAGTGCTTCTAGGAAGATTCCGTAAAGGGCATGACGGGACAGAAGAAGGGGAGAAGTGAAAGGCTGAAAATAAGGATGAAAAACAAATCAAAAGGTTCTGGTCCCAGAACTTTACTGGTACTTGATTCTAAGAAATTGAGAATGTCGGAACTACTTAGGAATACACAATTCATAAAATGTTTGGTTCTTTTCCTTCATGTACTTTTAGATCCAGATTTGCATGGGTATAGATACTTACATGGGTATAGATACTTACTTGAGCATAAGAAAGAAATAATTCTTTAAAACCCATTTTCCAGCATTTACTGTTTGGACTTCTCCATGGTGGCCCAAGAATGTGTACTAACTCTGAATTCTCAGGAGGCTGGAGCTGAGAACTTTTGAGTAATTTTGTCTTTTGGATATTAGGTGGAACCTGTGTTGAAAAGGTTGGAGTGAGAGACATCTATCTTGCCATTTGTCAACCGTATTTCTCTTTATTCTAGGATTTTCTTGCTGGAGTGCAATGTGAGAGAAGTACGCGTTGCTGTCGCCACCATTCTGGAGAAAACTCTAGATAGTGCCTTGTTCTATCAGGATAAGGTCAGTTTTGTTTTTAAATTTTACACGTACACCTGCTTAAATGAACACAATGAAAAGCAATAGCTAGCATTGGATTCTGGTAGTTTTGCCACGTAAAATGTACTGACTTTATGATAAATCCCAGAGTAGAAGCCATGTTGTCCCTTCCTCCTCATGTCCCAGGGAGTAGAGTAGAAATTGAGTCTGCTTTGATCTGCTTCAGAGTATTTGTCTCTAGAATATCCCCTTTTCAGACTTCTGTCTCAGAAGTTTGTATTAGCTCTCCATAATCTGAGACCAGTCCAAGCCTGGAGAACCTGGTCTAGACCAACAGTTTGAGTTGCCCTTGGCTCTGTCTCTTTTCTCATACACTATCTTGCTGATCAAAGCTGCAGCTGGTTAGCACACCAAATAGTGTCATTCATCCAGGGACAGTGGACGAAACAGTCCTTTCATGGTCTCTCTTATTCTCCAACATTTATTTCTATTAGTCTAAATTCCTTTTCTAATCCCGTATTATTCACAATGTATTTTCTCATTCACAGTTCCACATACACTCATGCTATCACAAACTACAGTGTTTATTGCTATTTTCACGCCCCAGAGTTACACAATGTTAGGGAAACAAATGACATGCGTTTTTTTAAATCTAATCTTTCAATATGTTATTAAGTCTTAGCAAACGCAGCAGTTACTTCCCAAGTTTGCTGTTTTAAACAGCTGACACTACATGGAAAACTTTGAAAAATGTTATTTTTTCAGAACTGATTGGCTTCTTATAAATATTGGCTGGAGGCAGTGTGGCTTGATGAACTAAACAATTTTTGGAATTGCTGCTTCAAATGAATATTGTAGTTTTGCACTGCCATCTTGGGCAGGTCTGTCTTAGGCAGGGTCTGGTAGCCAAGCACCTGCTCGTACAGCATTGCCTGGCCCAAGATGTGCTGTAGACCAGACAGTATCAAGAGCTTTGCACAGTTGAGAATGAATGAAGAGGTCAAATATGTTCCAGGAATCATGAGGAAAGTGAGGCTTATTTATGTAAAGGCAGTGCTTTCAGTCACTTTAAAGAGCAGAAGCAAACCTTCCTTTGATTCAGTGTGTAGGTCACCGGGAACTAACTACTCTAGGTCAGGTCAGTGTGGGGCGTGCAGCCCTGGCTTTCTGGGGCCTGTGGACAGTCCAAGTACCATTGCTATGAAATACCCCTATCAAAGTACGTCTACGCTGCACCAAAATTAATTCATAGAAGGACCTTCCTCTTTCCTGCTCCTTCCTCCCATGTGGCAACTCAGAGAATAAAGGCAGATGTAGTGCCATCTCTATAAGGGTGGGGTCAGGCCACAGCATGTTACCCCCCCCAACTTCTAAAAGCAGGACTGCAGGTGGTAGAAAAGGAATGGAGGACATGCGCAGGAAAGCCATTTGCCTCAGTAAATTTAATGTCCAACCTATGTATTTTATGTTTCTTTCCCCTCCATGATAGAAATGGTGGCTCTTGCCACCCACTTTAAATTGTAAAAATTTTGAAACTGAAGTGCTGTGCAAATGCTAACTTTTACTGTATTTATAATGGATGTGACAGGGAGGATGTGAATATTTTAAAAGTCTCTGACTGCATCTTCTGAAAGAATGAATTAATAAGAATAGTAACCCTTGTCTTAATTCCCAGATCACAGATGATGAATTTGTAGGGACTTGTTCAAAAGCATAGCTGGGGTGGGAGGGAAAGAAGAAGCAATGTGATAACCAAAATGGTTTCTAAACAAATAAAATGTTTTTCAAAGCTTTCCATGAGGCGTCAGCGGGCTTTCAAGTAAGTTCACAGTTGAGTCGATATTGCCGTTGTCATTCTGTCAGGCTGTTGCTCTCCATTTGCTCCATTGGCTTGATTTCTAGCCCCTATGCCTGTGTCTGTGTTTTTATTCTTTGCATCTGTGATTATGTGAAGAAGCAGCATAGTGGAGGGAGGGATTCAGAAACAAGTCTTCCTGAAGCTTCCACCATTTTTCAAGAGACAGAAATTGACTCTGGAGAAAGTGTGACCATTAGGCAGAAGAAATCATCCCCTGACTCTGAAACCTAGGAAACAAAAACTAGGCCCTCCTTTTCTTATGTCAACAGTTCTAGTCTGCCCCTGAAAGGTAAAACTGAGAATTCTGTATCTGCTCTCCAAAAACATAAATCCATCTGATCTGAGACTGGATTGTACCAATCTGACTTTTCCTTTTGTTCTCATGGTGGTTTATTTCAAATTAATACTGTTACAAATGTTTTTCTTACACTCTCTTTCTTCATGTAATTTCGTCTTTCCGTCTTTCCTCTACCCAGTTAAAAAGCCTTCATCAGTTACTAGAAGTACTGCTTGCTCTGTTGGATAAAGATGTTCCAGAAAATTGTAAAAACTGTGCTCAGTACTTTTTCCTATTCAACACTTTTGTACAAAAGGTAAGTGATTTTTTCCCCCTAACATCATTTCCTAATATGTGATAATTTTACTGTTTTTATGTGAATGAAAGAAATCGCTTTTCAGTGTTTCTTGATTTTCTTTGCATGTATAGTGATGAGGGAAGAAGAGAACAAGGAATTTTAAACATGCAGAAATAGTGATGGTACTACCAAGTTGACTAGGGGAAGTTTTAGACTAGTCTTTACTAGTCAATAATGAATTTGTATAAGAAATTTTTATGAATATTCATTAAAATCCTAATTTGTGGGTTGCATGACTTGCAAGGATTCTTATACTTGTAGATATAGGTACTTATTCATCGTAGTAGGAGATAATAGCAGTCAAACTAGTGACTAATTGTATTTTTGGTAGTTATTTGAAGCAACATTCAGACTGTTAGACTTCAGAAATTTTTAAATTATATTTTGAAAAGTGGGGTTTTTAATGTAAGTGAAAGTATTTAAAAATATTGAATCTTTAATATTTCTCATTTAACTGTTTTTAAAACACATTTTTGTCGGGATAGGAATGTAATTTGTCGTTCTCAATATCTTGTGACAGCAAGGTATTCGAGCTGGAGACCTGCTCCTGAGACATTCAGCTCTGCGGCACATGATCAGCTTCCTCCTCGGGCCCACTCGGCAGAACAATCAGGTAATGACGGCTCACTGTTCCTGGTGAGATCGCTGTTTTTGTCATAACACATAAGGCGTCAGGATTGTTATGTTCCTTTCATAAAAGCCCAAATGTAAGTATTACATACATCTTAAAATTCTTTGACATTTCAGCTGTTTTTACCACTCTGTCATAGAATTTTATCTGCTAATAAGTCCTGGAATTAGGTGACTAGACCACAGTGTGTATTGCTGAGTACCAAGGAAGGAAGCTGGCTTCAGACCGGGCAGCTACAAATACGGAATGGGGAGCTTCGCTTCTCCTTAGGGAATAAAGAGAAGCCTAGTTGGTTCTGATAATAAGGCCAGAATTCAAATGTGAAGTTGTACCATTACAAAATTAATAACATTGCAAATAGAACATTGTGTTTTGGGAAATGAAAGGGACGTTGTTTTGTAATAAAAGAATGGAGATAGAAAAAAAGGCTTGTTTCAAGTTCATTTTAATGTCTCTCACTATGTCTTTTGCTTGATTTAAAATAACATGCACTAATGCTAAGCGCTGTAATGAGAAATCTTTTCTCTCTCAGTCTCAACTGATTTCAGAGCCGTACTGTCTACTTTATGCATTGCATAGACAGGGTTTTCCCTCATTCTTCCCCCTTTTTTATTAAGAACGATAAACTTGCTGCTGAGCTTCCTTTCATCTTCTTGTCATATCACTTGCTGCTCTTATTCTTCAGAATTTAAAACATTGGTCCTGACCCAGTCACATGCTTGATGTTTTAGTATCATGTCAAGACTTGCTGTAGCCGTTTTCACATCAAGCTCTTCTGTGGGATTGACTCTGTTGGCTCTAGGGGTTGACTTAAATTCACTGTAATTCAGCTGCATGGATAGTTAGTATCATCTTGCCTTTTACATTTTTTATTTGAATACATTGTCATTTGTAGTATTTTAATTGCTCCTCACAACCACCACGTAGACACAACTTATAATCATTCTCATAGGAAGAGATAAGGCACCGTCTTCGTGCTCATACATTAATACAACGTGGTGAGTACAAGGCAAGGCCAGAGCTCCTGCCCCAAAGGCTTTGTCCTTTGTACCAAGAAACAGGGAAACAACCTGGCATAGCATTACAGAGAGTACATGAATAGATTTGTTTTAGAAGGTGAATAAATATATCTTAAGGGGAAAAAAACTTAGAGCTAGCTTAATTACATGACTTTTTCCCTCTTGGATCTCTTCTATCAAACATTTAAATATCTGTAGGCTGAAAGCTCTTGACCTAGGAAATGCTCTTTTTTTTCATTTTATCTCCAGCCAGAACGTTAACTTTACCTTATCTCTTCTGATGCCAGATACGCAGATGGAGTTCAGCACAAGCACGAGAATTTGGGAATCTTCACAATACAGTGGCATTACTGGTTTTACATTCAGATGTCTCTTCCCAAAGGAATGTTGGTAAGTTTTAACAGCTTTACTACAGCAGAGAATAAACACAGTGAATTTGTCTAGTATGGTTAAGTGATCATATTAGCAGTTACATGGATATTGTTTCATAGTATGCTACTTGATGTGTGGGAACACTTAGATTTTTATTTTAATTCAAATAAAACTCCATCTTGTTTTACTGGTTTAGACAAATAAGAGAAAATGAATTAATCATTTATCAGTGAAAAGGTTATGTAGACTTTTTTTAATGCAACTCTGGGCTTAAAAGCTAATTCAAAGTCCATTCATCACTGTACTTGGCACAGGTGATTTAGTGAGACAGATGACCAGTGTGTAGGTTGGAGTCTCTTACCCACTTGAACTTGACCTCACCACCTGACCTTTTTAATGAGTATAAAACACAAACAAACCCCAGTGCAGAACAGAATTTCAAATTCTAGTGGAGTTAGACTTTCTGGAGCTATGGAGAGTGGATGAACTCCTGAAATTTATTATTCTGAAATAATCTTAAAACAAAAATTATCCCTTGGCCTCCTTCCTACGTGACGTAGCCGTACAGGAGCCAGGCCGCAGGGCTTCGTGGGAAGGAAGCCACAACCAGGTCACCTTTCAGTGGACTTGGAAGAAAGTTCTCTCACGATGTGGTTCAAGATTCTCCCCAGAATCGCCATCATGATGGCGTGTTTGGTTATTCCGGGAGTAGCCACCACGAACATCCACCGGTTCACCAACAGCGGCAAGGAGAAGAGGGTTGCTCATTTTCAGTACCAGTGGAGTTTGATGGAAAGAGATAGGCGGATCTTTGGGATGAATCGCTAGTTTGTATCAAAGGGTTTGGAGAACATTGACCAAAGCATTTTTCCTATTGGTGGAAAAAATCAACACAGTCACCTACCACTGCTGCAGAAGGCTGTTATGTTATGCTTATTAAAAATAAAATTACAAAGAAAAAAATTATCCCTTGAAGTCTTCATGAAACCAAACAATAGTTTAGTTTAACTAGTGAAGAAAGAAAAATCTACCTTGAGCATTATTTGCTCTCATGCACTGTCAATAGGCATCAGACGGACAATTTAAAAGATTCTCACTGCTGTCCAGTCAGAGCTGACTCACCGCTGATCCTCCAGTGGGTTTTGAGAGCCTAAAATGCTCAAGAGGAGATTGCCTGTCTTTCTCCTGTAAAACACATGGTGGATTTGAATGTGTATGTGAATCTTGAGAGAATCATATTATCTTGCAATCATATTGCCTTGGGTGTTTATCAGATAACACGAAGTGAGATTGATTAGTCTTGTGTTTCATTTCTTTGGTCTCCTAAAGCTCCTGGGGTATTTAAACAGCGGACGCCCATTAGCGTTGCTCCCTCCAGCCCTCTGCTGCCCCTCCATGAAGAAGTTGAAACCTTGTTGTTCCTGTCTGAAGGGAAGCCTTACCTGTTAGAGGTATTTTCACTGTTTCTTCCTATTTGATGGAAATACCTTTTGTTGTCCAATTTTGCATGTTTCTCTTACAAAGAAGAGTAGTGGATGGCCCATCCTCAGTATTAGGCCCTACCCTTCCTCTCAGAGCCACCCTATTTTATGAACTGAATCCTCAGATCCTTCATCTGTTACTTGATTTACATCTGTATGAATCTGTAAACAGTTTATCATACTTGTTTTTAAAATTATGTCCACAGTGCTACTTTGTATATTTTGTTTTCCTTCTTCCTCCTCCCCTTTGCCCATCTCCGCTGAACATTTTGTGCATGATTTTCTCTTAGGTGATTGCTTTTGAAAATCTGATAAAAGTGATTTTTGTGCCCTGCCACCCTACTTTCCAAAAGAAGTTCACATTTTCACAAGATTATATTTCAGAAAGATTCCGATATCCTGAAGTCTATCCATTGATCTCTAGAAGTTGAGAAACTATATTTTGAAGCACTGGTTGTGATGTTGGATAAATTAAAACCAAGCCTCCAAAGGTTGCCTGTTAATTGTTAGTGAGGAGAGGTTATTTTTTATGTATCTCCCTCTAGGTGATGTTTGCTTTGCGAGAGCTGACAGGCTCACTCTTGGCCCTCATTGAGATGGTGGTGTACTGCTGCTTCTGTAACGAGCATTTTTCCTTCACTGTGCTGCATTTCATTAAGGTAAGGCCTCACTTAAACCTGCCTGTGTTTGAGGCTCTAGGAGAGCTTAGCTTTGTTCCCAGGAAGTATACCCCTTAATAACCTCAGTTGTTGCTCCTAATCATAAAAAGTCGTATGGCTTTGTTTTAGGAAATGCAAAGAATTAAATGAAGGAAGAATTTGAGAAGACGCATCTCCCCATTCACTGATAACTAGCATGTTATATGTTTGCTTTATTTCCTATGCATGTATTTTTAATATAGTTGAGATTTTACTTTGCTTTAGGATTATCTTTTCACATGACATAGTAAATTTTTTCCCCACATCACTCAAAGTTATCTGTGAGTATACTGTTTGATCCTCTTATGTCTCATAATTTACTTGACCTTTCCCTTGGCAGTGATGCACATTTGCGTTGTGTTCATTCTCTTAACTATTGAAAATAATACTGCATACTAACACAGTGGGGGCTGTCGTTGTTGTTTTTGTTGCTGTTATGTGCCGTCAAGTCACCTGTGACTCATAGTGACCCTATGTCCAACAGCTCAGAACCCTACTCTATCCTGAGCCAACCTTACTGTCTCTGACACACCTACCACCATTACCCCAAGTCACTGAGCCAATCCATCTCATCCAGGGTCTTCCTCTCCTGCGCTGTCGCTGTACCCACCCAAGCATGATGTCCCTCTTAAAGGACTGGTTCCTCTTTGCAACATGCCCAAAGTATGTCAGACGAAGCCTCAGAATCCTTTCCTCCAAGGAGCAGCCTGTTTTCACCCTCTAGGACGAACCTATTTGTTCTCCTAGCATTCTGTGGTATAGTCAGTACTCTTCTACAGCACCACAGCTCAAAGGCATCAATTCTCCTATCATCCCTACTCATTGGCCATGCTACTATGTTTTTTAAAAGTTATTTTCACAATTTCTGATTATTTTACAAGGCAACAATATAAAATGACAAGAGGTTTTTTTTACCCTTGCCTTCTGAAATGGTGACATAGATCATCACAGAACTTTGATATTAATAACGCGTGCCGCCATAGACCCTATATTGGCACGTGGTGGTTCTCTAGGACAGAGTAGACCTGTCTGCTACTACATCCGAGGCCAGAGTCTACAGAAACAGGCTGTCTTACCTTTCTCCTGTGGAACAGGTGGTAGGTTCACTCCATTCACCTTCCGTGTCGCAGCTATTCCACAAAGGCCTCTTTTTTTTCTTATTAAATATAGTGATTACTGTTACTGGCATAGGGAGCTCTCATGGCTTAGTGGTAAGGAGTTGTGCTATGAACTTAAAGGCATATGGTTTGAGTCCACCAGCTGCTCCATGAGAGAAAGATGGGGAGTCTCCTCTTGTGTGATTTACAGCCTCTTGAAAACCTGCTTGAGGATCAGCTGAGTCATTTCCAACTCAGTGGTACATAACAACAACATTACCATAGCATGCTTAGTAGTATGAGGTGAATACTACTTTTATCACCATTTTTTAGTTGGAAAGAACTGAGACGGAGATTAAGCAACTTACTCCAGGCCACACAGCTTTTTAAGGGGCAAAGTGGCGTTCTGGCTTCAGACCTCATGCTCTTAATCTCCCTGTTTACCACCTTTAGAGGTGCTACTAGAAAAAGCCTTGAACCTCATCATTATTGATTTTTAGTCTTCACTTATAATTACTTGGGGTAAAATATTAAAACTTAATGTCCACTTTAACTACCAACTCCAGCCTCATACCTCATCTCACCAGCACTGATCGTGATGGTGCATCTGATGTTAGCAAAGAACAGATGGTTAGTCAACTGTGTTTGTTTAGAAATGCTTATTAAAATAGCTTTGCCATTATCTTTTTTTTTTTTAGTAGACCTATACAGAGATGATTTTAGACACTGCTATTTACCCCTTACTAACTATATGATCCAGAGTAGTTTCTTCTATAAAACAGAAGGAACACTGCTTTTTCTCACAGGTTGTGAGGCATCAGTGAGGTAATTTAGGGGAAGTAGTACTTAGGGCTGTCCATGGAGACTTTTTTTGTGTGCTTCTTTTAAGGGTGCTTAGCTCTGAGCATTTTCACCTTTTCTGGAACAAAATGGAACGTGAATAAATGTAAATAGAAGTTTGGGTCTTTTTTAGTAACTTCACATTCTCCCCTCACTTTTCTTACTTTTTTCCTCCCTCTTAAGACCTAATTTCATAATAAAGTATCACAGAGTGTTGGCAACTGGAAGGGCCCTTAGTATTTATTTCAGTCCCTACGTTTGACACTTGGGGAAACTAAAGCCTGGAGAGCAGAATTTGACTTGCCCAAGGTCAACCCAGATTGTGGTAAATCCAGACAGGACTTGAATCTAGTGCTGTTGATGCCTCCTCTTTCCACGGGAGAGTTGATTGAATTTTTATGCACTTTGAAAATATTTCAGAACCAACTAGAAACCGCTCCACCCCATGAATTAAAGAATACGTTCCAGCTTCTACATGAGATTTTGGTAAGTTACAAATTTTCTGTTTCATTAATATTCATATATTTATTTGTTAGCCTATGTTTATAAATGAAAAGTCATGTGCTCTTTTTTATTATTTTTGCCTTCATTTGGTTTATGTTTACTGAGTCCTTGTAGAGCTTAGTCATATGATTTGTGCATTACAGATTTCAAAGTATAAGTTATCTCCTAGGAACTCACAGCTTAGTGAGGGAACCAGACAGGTACTTAAGCATTACAGGGCAGAGAGTGAGGGTGGAATAAGTGATAGTTAACTTCTGCTGAGGCCTTAATATGGATAAGGAGGCCTTGGCAAGTAAAGAGTTGTACTCCTAACATAAAGGTGATGCCTCACTGAGGATTTGAATCCACCAGTGGCTCTTAGGGAGAAAGATGCGAAATCTCTTTCCATGCAGTCTACTGTTTTGAAAACCCACTGGAGGGTCAGCTATGACTTGATTCCCGTTCAACATAACAATATGATAGAAGAAAGAACAGGAGCTGACCTGAGCTTCTTGTTGTTGTTGTTGTTAGGTGGTGTCAAGTCAAGCACGACTCATAGTTACGCTGTAAACAAAAGCCCTGAACCCTGTTCTATCCTTCACCATCCCCACACTTCCTGACACCCAAGAACCCATTGCAGTAGACACCGTGTCAGTCTACTTGGACACTGTCTATTGGTCCAGTGGCAAGAATCTTTGTTTTCTTTTTATTGAAACACAGTGACTTAAATCTCTTCTTAGGAGCTAGAAATACATCATTCATTTCACTTTTGGTTTTAAAAATCAGCCAGACGTCTCTTTCTGGTATTTTATTTCCTTTTGGTCCTGGTAACCTCTACCAAACTATAATAGATTCATTTTCAAAGGTTTGCTTAAGTGCTTAGAATTGGGTCCGACTCCTCGAGACCCTATGTAACAGAACAAGCCCTTCCCACTTCTACACCATGCTCACAATCTTCGCTGTGATTCAGTCTACTGTTACAGTCACTCTCACTCCATAACATTGAGAGTATTTAGGATAGGACTAAATTTTTCATCTAATCAACTACAAACTCTATAGTTTGGGGTACTGTGGACATCTACTGCCATGCACCAAGGGGGGAGAAAATCCATGAGTAAATTACCGATCCTAGCCCTTATAATATAGAAAAGCCTTAGGATTCATGAAATACACTTCTTTGTAACCTGAAGAGATGTGTAGATGACATTGATATGTAAGATATGAAATGATCGTCCATGATTTTTCATCTTTACTAGCAGATTTTAGGTCTTTTTAAGGTATATGGCAGTGGCATATTTATATTGGATAATCTTATGTTCGAAACTAATATTTTGCATAGAGTTCTAATAAAGCATTATTGGCTATAACATTTGTATTTTCACTTACCAGCCTTTGTTTGCTTCATCTCACAGGTCATCGAAGACCCCATACAAGTGGAGCGAGTCAAATTTGTGTTTGAGACAGAAAATGGGTTACTAGGCAAGTATGCCTGGCTGACATAAAAATGCCAGTGGTGCCTGTGCAGATTTGCTGTTGGTTTAGCCCCGCTCGTCACTGGGAGGGCTGCTCCCCTCTGCTCATCCCGGGCTTAGATCACTGAAGAATACCACAGAAATGTGGTCGGGGCTGCTAGATTACCATAAAATAATCGGAGATAAAAGCCACAAAGCGCACCTGGACATTGCCTCTTCCCATCAGGAAGATGCTCATTAGGGTTCTTCTGCCTGATTATGTAAGATTCAGGGGTCTTGTGACTTTTCCCCATAAATTAAAGTCCTAACTCAGAAAACCTGTTGTTCCATCTCTAGTCCCTGGAGAGCATAAACATAAAACTACGGACTAGGGGATGTTCTCCTCCCCAAGAAATGTGATTCTCTCTTTGTCTATGATATGAATTTACTACCCAAATTTCCATTGACTACTCATGAATGCATTCTACAGGATGCATCACCTTTGACCGATAAAAATTGCGACTATACTTCAGAGACACTGATCCCAACATAAGGAACTACCATCAGCTGATGTGTTTGAAATCACAGAAGCC